TTTTCCTCCTGCATCACACACCCACACCTCCACACTCACACCCCTACCCAGTCACCATCTACAACAACAACAATGGCTCGCACCAAGCAGACCGCCCGTAAGTCCACTGGTGGCAAGGCTCCCCGTAAGCAACTTGCCTCGAAGGCCGCTCGTAAGAGTGCGCCCTCTACCGGTGGTGTCAAGAAGCCTCACCGCTATAAGCCTGGTACCGTCGCTCTGCGTGAGATTCGACGATACCAGAAATCCACTGAGCTTTTGATCCGCAAGCTCCCATTCCAGCGTCTGGTAAGTACAATAACAATAACAACAACAACACACGGCACCGAACAGAGCTGACGTCGCCGCACAGGTTCGTGAAATCGCACAAGATTTCAAGAGTGATCTCCGTTTCCAGTCCTCTGCTATCGGCGCCCTTCAGGAGTCTGTCGAGTCATACCTCGTCTCTCTGTTCGAAGACACCAACCTCTGCGCCATCCACGCCAAGCGTGTCACCATTCAGTCCAAGGACATCCAGCTCGCCCGTCGCCTCCGAGGCGAACGTAACTAAATCGGGAGTGTTTGGGACGGAATAGGTTTACGACTTTTGCTTTGACACGATGGAAATCATGGTTCAGGGGATAATCATGGCGTTACAATGAGGATTGCTTTGCTCTTCAGTTGGGATGTATATTATGACAGGTAGTACAGCTCGGAGAAGCTGTCCAATGCGACGGACCGCGAAGGTCACGAACACATTACATGAAATGGATGCCCACGTGAAAACGCCAATGTATCGTAACTACGCGTAGTCTGAGGCCCGGTACTGACCGGGACGCGACTGCAGATGAGTCACTTGTGTGACGTGAACATGAGTAACACTTCACGTCTAGATGGAGCAGTAGCCAAGTGCAGCTAGGCTGGCGTGATCACTGAGGTTCCTAGGTACAGAGGAAGGTACGTGTACCGGAGTAGGCAGCACCTATGCGAGATAGATTTCATTCGCAGTTGTATCACAATGGCATAATCGTGAGGTGCTGGTGGAAACCGTCAATGTCTGCTAGGGTACCCCGGAGGTCGACGGCAATAGCAACGACAACACTGAACTCCAATAGCTAGTAGGATCGATCGCGCTTCAGATACAGAACGTGCACTGCTTTTTTACAACAAAATCTGTTGTCGACACCTGGAAATTTCAGATCTTGCTTCCCGTATGGTAATACATGTTGATCAACACGTCCTCCACTCGCCAATTCTAGGCTACGACCCCAGCAAGACTCATTCCGGGGAACCACATGCGCACTCGTCGACGGCCAACCGCGACAGCCATGGACGTTTCACCTGCGTTACGGAGAAGACTTGCCTCATCCTGTTGAGATACTCGGCAAGCCCTTTGGCTGGCCGGCATGGCCGAGCATACCCTTCAAGTGCCAGCAACAGCTGCCTACTGGTCAGATATGGCACCGAATTCTTTATCTGTATGTACAATGGGGGTTCCAACCTCCAGCCCGCAAAAGTCATCAATTTGCAAGCAACCTACTCCGTACTTAAGCACCTATCCCTGCTCGTCGTGGCTTCTTTGGCACATGGCCGCCTTACAACCAAGGGGTTTTACTCCGCACTCAGTACCCATGACTACTTACTCGTAAGGAGCTGCTGTACAATGTTCTTCAACCATCACAGGAACCGGCACAGGTGCGGTTTTGCGACGCTAGACTACGATGCCATCCCAATGGTTACGCTTAACCCCATCGCTGATCGGACCCTGATACTAAGATTGTTACTTACCTATAGAATAGGGATTGATGATGTTGGAGTAAATGTGGTTTTGACAAGTCCGTTGTATGGCAAGCTGGATTCTTCACAAAGTGTCCACAATCGGGCGGACGGGCGGAAGGACTTCATGAATGCCACAGCGAAACTAAGTAACAAGACCTACTCGATACAGAGAGTAAAGATCGGAGTGCAAATCTCGTGTAAGTACAGTACTGAACTTCCGTTGAAGGGGTTTACACGCTTGCATTTGTTTGAACCAGCGAGTCTGCATGACATGTTGAGAGCTATATAAAGATGCAAATTGACTTGATATGCAGTCTCTGCGGCTCCTTCACCATCAGTAACCCAGTCTTGGCCATGCGACTGTTCAGTTGAGCGCATTTGCAACATCGTTCGGTTCGGGGACACGGTATCAGAGCGGTTGCCCCGCCGACAGTTGTTGCATCATTGTCTCCGGCATCGTCGTCGTCATCATCGTCTTCGTCTCGCGGCTCAGGTCGATACTCTAGTCTTGCCATTTCCACGACTTGCTCCTGAACTCTGATGTCAGGCATTCCACCTGTGACCTGTGCCTGTCTCCTGTTAGTTGCTTTTCATTGATATTGAACGTATTGTGCTCAGAAGTTTCCCGTTTGATGGTATTTGTGACATGGACAGCCTTCAGTGAGAGGGGGAATCCAGGCTGGACGTTGTATATTATGGCAAAGTCGTATATTCTCCCCATGCTCTCCCTTTTCTTCGACCGATTTGAGATGCGAAATGTGGCCGAGCCGTAAGACGCTGGTGGCGAACAATTTTGTATCACTCGAAGCCAACGCAGCAATTGCATGGCGTTATATAAAATTCATGTAGTTTATCGATTTGCGATACAAATACTAGCCTAAGCGCGGTTTTTAAAAGGCTTACGGCGTGGCAATGAGTTGTTGTCGCGAACCGTGCGAGGAACTTGTCGCTCGTCCAAAGCTCGCTAGTTAAGGTGTCCGGAAATGAGACGGACAATGGCTTCAGTCTCTTCGACTCCAGGTGTTGCCGTGATTTGTATTTGATTCCTTGGGTAATTCATTTTTCATTTCATTTGTAAGTCCACGCTTTGTGTACAGTATTCGTTATGTCTCTGGTGACTTGAGTGGTAGAAGATCCAAAGTCGTCAAGGAAACGTCAAGTATCCAGACTCGACTTCTAGGCCGACTTCTTGGACTGCGCGTAGTGCATCTTTTCTGAAGAGTTCGCCCCTAAATGCCAAAAAATGTAACCCAGGTAGTAGGCCCTTTAAGTGAAGCAAGTATTGATGTGATCTTGAATTAAGCCACGCTGATATTTCGCAGCGGTTTCCCAGAAACACGAGTAGTCATGTCTGTGATTTGCAAAGCCTCTGTTTGGGCGACCTCATCCCGCGAAATTGCATGTTAGGGGAATGACAACTTGGTAAATTTCAATTTTCGAGTTAAGGGAATGACACAACGGGTGGTATAATCTACAGATTTGCCCACCCTCCTTCAAAATACACCTTGCTCTTGCCTTAGTTTTATTTCATACTATCTTAGTCGACTTTCGCAGCAGCTTCTGGAGCAGGATTCTTCCTATACCAATCCTGGAAATCATGCCTCTGTGTAGCTGTTTCTTAGCTTGTTGAAGCTGGGTTATGTTTGATCGATTACTGTCCAGCTCGTAACATATGTGAGCCACTCTGCTGCATCGAAGTCTATATTTAAAGAGAAACTCTGCCGTTCTTCTGCACTTCGGGTCCTCATATTCTCATATGCAATTGATGGAAATTTGGGAAATCAACAACCGTGAGGACAATCATAAATGGTATACCGCAGCCTCTGGCTGTGGCTTAGCGCTGGGAAAAGGCGAAAAGCCGTTGAGACTTCGACCTCATTGAACAATTCGGTCAAACTCGCTAAAGACTCCATTGGACCGGTATACCTTTTGCGACAATGTTAAATCTGGTATCCAATCAGTGCCTGGTTTCTTGTCTTCCGAACCTATGTCAGTACTGGAATCGACGGCTTCCAACAAGAGGTGCGTCGACGCCTGGTTGCCTTTATCGTAGTTGTTGTCTTCATGTTTCTTGTTTGTCGCGCGCCATTACACCAACTCATTTGAGATTTCTTATTACTATTTTTTCCCTCTTCTTGCCAGGTAGAGACTGACAAAGATTTCAACAAACAGGTCCTTCCATGACGATGAAAATGTCATCACAGCCAAGTCATGCTCTCTTATTGGGGATTCGGTGGAGGGGAGTTTGATGACTTCACCAGGAATATAGTGGTGCCCTCATAATTTCCCACTGTCATGTCGCCTTCCTTCACCTCGCTTTCATGAAGCCATTTTTAAGGGGGGGCTTTATACCCTGGTGACATTGTCGTGCGCCGGTGATATTTCCTTTCTGCTTCGCTACCACTAGCATCCATCGAACCGTCTAATCTAACGTCCATGTCGCTCTCTTCGATGCTAGACTTCTGACCTCGTTAATGATTCCACACCGGAGTAATCGCGACTTGCAAAGCATATTCGTGAAAATCTCCCGAAGGAACTCGACAGCCTTTGCAGTCAATGAGTTGCACGAAGACGGCAGCACGTCTTATTAAAAGAAGGGAAAGCAACCGGGGACGGAAAGTATGATGGGATCCAAATGTCCTGGGGCAGTCAGATTGATTCAAACAAGTAGAGCACCTGGACGTGGTAATTGAGAAGCCAATGGCGCCAGCTTTTCAATATCAACAGTGAATAGTCCCAGGAAACTGATGATGGAACTTAAAAGGCCACCAGGAATTAGATTGATAAGATTGTTATGAAGCCGGCTTCGTTTCCTCAGCAGGAAAGAATATGAACTCTACTCTGCATTTATGACGCGATTGATACGTCAATTCCAGACTAGGTCTAGTATATTGTGATGACGCTATGGTTTCCTAATTGACGTGTCCAACGAATTCAATGACAGTAGGGAAGCTGTTGGAGACTTCGACGCACTGCTGAGAAGAAAATCTGGCGGTTTTAATGGGCAGAATTTTAGCACAGGGAGTTAAAAAGTGGGACCACCCTGATCTTACTGTCGGCCCGCCGACATGCGTCTTCTAATGATACGTCCTCTCGTCACTATCAATGTCAACAGATTGAATTCCACGTCGCATATCAGTTGATCACGCCCCTTTCGCTTCCTGCACATATAAATAAATCTCGAACAAGAGGCGAGTAATTCTTGACGTTCTCCTCGATCCACTCACGCGATGGATCCATCTAAGATGGCAGGCCTCGGCCCTCGCCGTGATGCTTCGGCTCGCATCCAGAAGCCAGATACAAGTCTTGATCGCCTGGCGGCTCTCAAAGCTCGAGTGGCAGCAGCTACAGGCGCTAGTAAGGCAAAAGGGGACATCAACTCTCTTCTTGAAGACCCAAAGTCACGAAACTCATCCCTAGTTACTCGAGATCTGCCCATCAAAACCGCACAACCTCGCGCCCAGCAGCATGCCGGTCAATCACCTTATCGTACACCTGCTGCTAACAGCCGCAAGTTCGGGCAAGCTATGCAGAGCGATGCCATCGATAACCCATATTTAGACGAGAATCCGGCGCACCAAAGCTCCGGCGCCAGACAGCGAGAACCAAGACGCCTAGTGTTTAATCAAAAAGGGAAATATATTCAGCAGGCAAATGCCCTTCGCCGACAAGCAGCACTTGAAGCAATGAAAAAGCGCATAGCAGAACAGACCAGAAAAGCCGGTATCAACGAAGACCTAGATGTGGAGAAGAACTTTGTAATTGAGCAACCACCAGATGTCGAGTGGTGGGATGAGGGACTCATCGATGGCAGCAGCTATGAGCAGATTGGAAATCCCTCCAGTCTCAAGATAATAAGCCCGGATAGCATTGTGACTGAGTACATCCAGCATCCTGTCGCGCTCGAACCACCCCAAGACCGTCACGTTCTAGAGAACAAAGCGATGTTTCTCACGTCCAAAGAACAAGCCAAAATCAGACGCCAGCGCAGAATGGCGGAGCTGAAAGAAATGCAGGCAAAGATTCGCCTTGGGCTGATACCAGCGCCTCCTCCAAAGGTGAAAAAGGGGAATTTGATGCGGGTGTTGGGCGATGGTATGTGTCCCCATTTGTCCCTATTTGTCCCTATTTGTACATTGTGCTAATTCTGTTGTGTCAGTTGCCGTAAAGGACCCCACGGCCGTCGAAGCGAGAGTCAACCGCGAAATTGCGGAAAGGCATCAGAAACATGTTAAACTCAACGAAGATCGAAAATTATCAAAAGATCAGAAGAACGAAAAGCTATCTAAGAATCAAGAGAGAGATGCTGACAAAGGAATCTATCTTTTGGTTTTCAAGATTTCGAGCTTGGAAAATGGCCAGCATCGCTACAAAATTGGAATGAATGCTACTCAACTTGCTCTGTCTGGCACTTGCATCATGCACCCTAAGTTTAACTTGGTTATTGTTGAAGGAGGCGCTTGGAGCATCAACAAGTACAAAAAATTGATGCTTAATCGTATCGACTGGACGGAGAATTCACCTTCAAGGCGTGGGGATGACAGACCCAACTCGGAAAGGGACTGGCTTCAAGCGGAAGATCAAGATGGGGCACTTAAGGATATGTCGTTGAATGAGTGCAGGCTCATATTTGAAGGGGAGCAGAAAGCACGGGTTTTTCGAAGGTGGAGTAGTAAAGTATGCGAGACTGACGCTGAAGCCCGGGAGGCGCTTGCTCGCGTAAAGCTAGAAACTTTCTGGTCCTTGGCAAAGGGCACGCTCGGCATATCTTGATGAAGCGCTGTCATATTTGTAGAACGAGGTAGATAGACATTGCACAAAAGGACCTGCCTCAAGATGTGGCCATGGTTGTAATCGGTTGATAAGTGGGCATTTCTGTGATCTTGTGCTCCGAGGTGAGATGGTGGTGAATCGTGGCGGCGGAAGCGAACTGAGCCTATACAGCGATTTTCTTCCCAAGCTGGATTTCACATAATTTCCAGGGTGGCTCTTAACAATAAAAGACATCAAGGTCTTTTAATACCGTTCATCAGTTAAAATAGGGAGATCTGCACACACCTCTAAAATACCGAGTTGGCTGACTGGCGTTGGTGGTGTATCGCAAAAAGAAATATCTGTGCAAATGGCCGAATACGTGACGGAATGACGTGTGTTTAGTCGTGGCCCTAGGCATACGTCACTCCATGTTCATCACTTGGCGATTTCAACCAATTTGCTTGGTCTTGGATGTGTTGATGATTTCTCGCACCACATTAGTCTGAAAAGCGCCATGCGGTGGATGACATCTGGACCCTTCGACCAGCAACAACCCAATGGAATAGCATGTCAGACATCTTAGGCGGCGATTTGACGGAAGGAAAGTCCCCGAACCTGGCGCCCATGAATTTGGGTGGCATCAGACGTGTTCAGTTTCTGGTCTCATCGACCCCACTGTAGGTCCGACAGGAGGTACCGTGGCACGCACCACGTCCTCGCGTTTGGTGTAGTACATGTAACCGAATCCCGTTGAGTAGACTTGGCTGGGCCTCGTCACCGACGACGCTCGCAAGTCCAAAATCCCCGTCCTTCCCTCCCGTCACGATGAACACCCGCCACAAAGAACAATTGCTTCAGGGGAATTCCTGTGACAGTAAGCTTGGTCGGTGATCAGGGGCGACAAACCTAGAACCATCATAATATATGGCCATTATTCCGAATCACGGAGGCTGCCAACATGACACCAATTCCGCACACCTATGGCTCTAATTGCCGCCTGGCTCCAATACCACAACGTCCAAGTGAGAATGGCATGCCGCAAATTGTCTCCCAGTTCTTCTATTCGTCACTTATACCGATCAACGAGCTGCTATCAAACCAGCGCTATAGGAGCAGTTCGGACAACAAGTCGGTGAAGCGACAGCTTCGGCCATTTGACCTTGGTGACAACAATGCACTCGAGAAGGCATGGATGAGCCTGCCATCGGATCAGTACCGTACTGAACATGAAGCGATTAGAGCAGGCCGATACGAAAGCCTTAGGCCCAGCCCGGGGCTTCTGCGACTACGACAGAAACTCGTGGAAGCTCTCGCTTTGAAACACCTTGAACTGCACGCTGGTACCTTGTATGGGCTGCCATTGAATAACAATGCTGCGAGCACAAGTGCCGAAATGGGTGAACTGCCAGCATGTTGCCCAGTCTTGCGTTCCGACGCCTCGGAAATGCTGCAACAGCATTTTTGCGCTTTAGCCCGCAAAGCCTATCCAGAACTCACGATCGAAGCTACAGAGCGGGAAGTAATTGAAACCATGACGGCTATAAACAAAACAAAAATCGACACCTTTGACTCTGAGCAGAATTCAGTTCTCGGTAATTTGTCCGCAAGGAGAAGGGAAGCTGTATCTCTCGAAGTAGAAGCTTCGCCGGTCACGAGTGCTGGAAGGATTGTAGCACGGCAGGGGCGACCTCAATCATCATCAAGGATCACACCGAGCTTATTGGGCCAAACCGCTTTGGATGTGCCTGCACCACCCCGCTTACCTGGAACAAGCGTGGGAATGGCGGGCGACTCTTTTATTCAAGCTGGAAGCAAGTCCGGTTTTACAACACCGCGGGCTTCAACCTCGGACGGCCGCCAACAGCTGAGTACTAGTAAACACCACGGTGATGACCGTATCGCACTTCGTCATCATGTACCTGACTCAAAGAAAGAGACTGAGAGTGAAGCGAGTGTTCTAGATGTCGTTGTGGGTATATCGAGACTTCATAAGGTGTCACTACCGGCACTTCTAATGGAACCTATATATTGGTCACCTGTGAATGATGTGGCTGTTGTAATGCGAGCTACTTGGTTCTATAGGTGAGGATATTTTTTAATTGTCGTTGTTTGGTTACTAACAATGTGCTAGAGATACGATGATGCCCGTGGCCCCCTTGGTAGCTAATCAACTGGAAGCTGGTTATCAAGAGCTGAAGCCATGGACTGAAACATGGAGAGATGAATTAAATTGTGCGGTCGAGGTTGGGTCTCTGGGCGAAGAGAAGATTTCGTATTGCCTATGGCCTCAAGACTCAAAGTATTTCAACAGTGAAATGCAAAAACGAGAGCCCGGGATATCTGCCGAGGCGTTTTGTTCAGCACATTGTTGTCGAGGGGATGCTGCTGCGCAAGGGTCTATTGATCCTGTTGTTGAAGGGAGTTCTTCAAACAAAGAAGGGATAAGTCGAGCGTTTTCGAATTACCACGTTATTTACAAGGATGAAAAGCGTGCGTTTCTGTTAAAACCTAGCCTCCGACCCTCTGCTTATTACGGAAGAAGGCCGGCGTCAAAGATTGTCAAAGGCTTCGCAGTCGGCATTCCGGTTGTTCGAGGTTTTGACTCGCAAGCCTGGGATCGTATTTATGGCCATGGCCATGTTCCCGACCGGGACAAGGAAACACAGCAAATAGCGGAACCAACATCGCATTCTCATGAGAACGACGAAGATAGACCCTGTGACGCATGTGAAGCCGACAAAGACAATGGTCAGGTGACGGACCTGATTCTTGTTGCACACGGCATCGGTCAAAAGTTCGCGGAAAGAGTCGAGAGTTTTCATTTCACACACGCCATCAATGGTTTTCGACGTGCCGTGAACGACGAGATGCGCAATCCCATCATTCAACACATCACGCGCCAAGACCAGAACGGTGTTATGATACTGCCACTAAATTGGAGAATGGGGCTTTCATTTGAGGACGGTGGCCCAGGAAACCGTCAAACTAGCGAACAGCAAACGAATGAATCATTTGGATTGAAAGATATTGAGCCTAACACTATTCCTGCAATTAGAAGCATGATCTCTGATGTCATGTTTGACATACCATTTTATATGTCACACCACAAGAGCAAAATGGTCAATGCTCTTGTATTTGAAGCGAACCGAGTATACCGGCTTTGGTGTCGAAATAACCCAGGTTTTGCAGACAGAGGAAGAGTTCATCTTATTGCGCACTCCCTGGGCAGTGTTATGGCAGTTGACATACTTTCTCGACAGCCGACGGAAGTGCCACGCTTGGATTTGGAACGAGTTGAGCCGGAAACGCAATTCTTTGAGTTTGATACAACTAATCTCTTCCTTCTCGGAAGTCCGGCTGGCTTCTTCTTGCTTCTTGAACACGGGGCTTTAACACCAAGGCGTGGACGCCGAAAGCCAGGGGCAGATCCTAGAGATATAATGGATGAGAACATCGTAAGTGACGCTGGCAGATTCGGCTGTCTGGCTGTGGATAACATCTACAACATCTTGGCTAAAGAAGACCCCATTGCGTACTTGTTAAATGGGGCAGTAGATCCTGCATACGCCTCAGCACTTAAACCAGCCTACGTCCCAAGCACTTCAACTTCAATTTTCAAGTCGGTAGGCGACGTAATGCGACAAATTGTGCCAGGATTATCGTTGCCAACTGATCCACTCGCCACACATCCCGAGAGACCCTCCATAATACGGCTTCCTTCTCAATTAGAGTTGGAGGTTCATGATTTCACGCGTGAAGAGATCGCCGAGAAACGGGTGTTTCTACTCAACGATAATGGCCAAATTGATTGGTTTTTAAGATCTGGAAGCGGCCCATTAGAGATCCAGTATCTTAATATGCTCAGTGCCCACACAAGTTATTGGATTAATCAAGACTTCGTTCGTATGTTGTGTCTGGAAATTGGGCGACGGCCAGGGCGGAATTTTTCAATCCCAGTCATGAGAGCCGTGAAAGGGACCAAGCGATTTTCATTGGAGAGGTGATTCATTTGTAGATCAGGCAATCAAACCGCATCTCTCGTGACACTACATATGTTCAATTTGCATAGCGGTTACCTTTGGGACCGCGTAATGTAGTGGATTGGTTTTTTTATGTACAAGCTCGTCTTTCAACGCAAATGCCATTTATAATTGAATTTTTCTGATCCCATTCACCAACGCCGCCATTGACAGGCCAACTGATGCTAGCCAAGTGCTTTATTAGAAATCGTCCAGCTCCATCATGTCTTGGTCCAACTCTTCGTCATCGAATTCATAGGGATTAATGGGAGCATTGTCCTCGTCGCCTGGAATCTTTGCCGCATCCTCGAGTTCGCGAATCTTTTCCATATCCATCTTTTCTTTATACTTCTGAAGATCTTCGTAGCCCCACGTGCTAATACCGTCCTGATCTTTGGCGTGAAAGGGTTGTGCCATAGTTCTTAGAAACCTCCTTGCACTGCTCACTGCCATATCAGTGCTAAGGTTCGTATCGACATCCAGGAGGCCTTGATTAATCCATTTGGGAAGTTGGACTCTCTTTTTCTGAAATCTGCGGTCGGCAAGAACCATGATTCCATAGTCATCTTTCCCTCGCAGGACACGGCCGAGGCATTGAGCAGCGTGGCGCATCGCATCGAAAGAAAGAAAGTCATTTTCCTTGATACGATACGTTTCGCGCAAGAATTCTAGACGTGCTTTCAAAATCCGGGACTCTGTGTATTGAAAAGGGACCCCAATGCAAAGTACCGTCCGGCCATACTGGTGATCAAAGTCGATGCCTTCTGAGACTTTGCCCCGTGCAACACACAATAAGATCGCCCCTCTACCATTGCAACATGCGGTGCGGTAGGTTTCGAGGGCTAGCGACGTTTCCTGGGCGTCTGGAGTTTCTACCAAAATAAGTTTATATTTCCACACTTCATCCAAAATACCCATGCCTTGCCACATGCTGATGATCGATTCCATGTAAAGGTACGATGGAAAGAAGACAACTAGGCCATCAGGAGTGATTTTGGCGAACTCGATCAAAAGCGTGCCGTAATTTCGCACCACACTAGGTTCGTTGCGGACTTGGAAACTGGTCGAAATGGAGGCTTGATCACTCCCGCGTGTAACAATCATAGGTAAGAATGACCGTCTTGCAAGTGTCATGCTGTATGACTCTTGGATCACAGTCGAAAAGTCCAACATCTTTGGATACATTTCCAAAGGAGAAATTGTACCAGACGTGATAATAACAGAATAGAATCTCTCGAAAACAGGGCGAATAGCTATTGCTGCGTCCAGACACGTAAAATGCAGAATAGGGTTAGGAACCTCTGCTGTGTCTGATTCAAAGGGCTCAAGAATAAGAAGAAAGCCTTTCTCATAGGTTGCAACCAACGTCGCAAAAGTAGCCACTTCCTGTAACGGCTGATAGTCCTCGATATTGGTAAGCTCAAGTGTCCGAACAAGAGACGTCAAGCGCTCTGCGCAAAACCTGAGGGGTTTCTTTTCGATGAAAGTGTGTTCCTTCAAGTGAGCTAGGAATGAAGGGGGGGTCTCTGAAATGACCTGACGCACTTTCATCCTTGTCTGGATACATATTAGGAATGATTAGGCTGAAACGGCTATTTTGTTTGTACACACCTTGAGATACTCAATAAATCTTTTGAGGAAAGCAACGAAATGCTCTGCTCTTCTAATGTTTCCAGGGACAGCTTCCCTGAGTAGATCTTCTGGCAGTGCTATAAAAGGTCAGGCTAGAACAAAACCGGGCCCCGCATACTAAATGGCTTACCAGGATTAGCCATGAATGCATCCTCCTGGCGTGCTTCGTCCGCCTCTCGAAGGCCCTGGACCAGTTTTTGGTATTCATTCTGAAGTTGCTCTTGATCCGTGTCCCGCATCTCGGTGATTTTGTGCTCGAGGTTTTGTGCACCTCTGCTGGCCCTACGTAGCGAGTCTTCGGTAATGTCAGTGCTGAGAGCTTCAATACATACATTGTCAATATTGTGAGCTTCATCAAACACGACAATGCAGTCTTTTGAAAAGTCTCGAGACACTCGCTCCGCAATTTTTGGATCCAAAAGATAGTGATAAGAGAAAATGACGACGTTGCAGTATTGCATCTGATCCATTTAGTCGATGCTAGAGCAGGGCAGTGGTGATAAGCATACCATTCTTCTTGCAGTAAAATATGGGCACTGTTTGTGTTCCTCTCCATACCGCAGAATACCATCAAAGGTCCATACGCCATTCGGAATCAGGTTGTGAGGCTCGAGAAGGTCGAGATTCTAAAGTCTTGAATTAGCAGGTAGAGTCAGGAGGAAGAAAAACCACGCAAAATTCTTCAGAAACTTTCTTGAATGAAATATGCTGTTGGGCTGAAGGATTCGTACATCGTGGTAGACGCAAACGGCCACATTCTCACCCCTATCCTTCTTCTCTTTAACAAAGCCAGCAGTGAGACTCCTACAGCGGGCGTCCACAACAGATCCACTCTTTTCTCGTTTGACGGAGGGATGGAGGCAGAGGTTCTTTCGACTAGTTAGTCCCAAGCCGCGGAAATCTTCCTCATAGCCTAGTTGCTCTGTACGATACTTCATGAGAGCTTTCAGCTCCACCAAAGCCTTCTCGATCTCTGACATGGTACCTTTCCACGCAAGTTCATCAGCCACTAAACCAAGAGACAAGGAAGAGAGAAGAGGAGGAGAGAGAAACGGGGAGATATTGAGGAAGGGACTTTGAGGGGTTCAACAAACGAGAGCAGTATATTAGTTTTCTTTTTTCAGGCATGAACTGCTGATAAGCTACAATGAGCGATAGTAGGGATACAGTCTTGCCGGTGCCTGAAGGCATTTCTAGTACACAGTGACCGCCGGCATCAAGTGTTTCTAAGAATAGATGGTACGGGTCAGCCAGGTTGGTAAGACCAAACTATTACCAGAAGCATTGAGGATCGTCGCGGTTACTCTTCAAGTCACACATATACCTATTGAAATATCGGTTAAGGGGAGGCAAAAGTAAAACTCTGCTTTTATATGGGAGCTTACGCATATTGCTCTAAAAATTGCTTGGTCAGTTCTGAGCGCTTCCATGCCGCATTCTGAACGTGCATACCTGGGTAAATCTTGGGATACGGAAAAAGGACAGGCAGTTTACTAAAGCCAACTTAGCACCCATATACATAACACGTGATGAAGAGAGATATTTTACTCAATGTAGAACTTCATCTTGCCCTTCGATGAGAGCTAACCTAGCTCTCAAAACGCAATACTTGATAATTTGTTGCCTCTTTACCTTGGTAGATTCACATTTCACGATCGTAAGGAGAAGACTCGCCATGTGGGTCTCCAAGGAAATTGTTAAAGCGCGTGATCACGTGATTGCGAGCACCCGCTGCGTACTCACATCCGTCCTGTCACGCGAGCATCGTGCTGGATCTCTTCAACTTTATTGTTGCTTTGCTTGAACCGCTGACTGTTTCGCTGCTTACCTACTAGGCACTCATCCGAGTATCTCGGTGGGCAGTTGCGTTATAGACGTCGGTTTGTTTGTGGGAAGCCTGTCATTGGCCTCGCGCCATTTGGGGCCATCTGATTCTCTTAATTGCTCAGACCTAGTGCTCCTTTCGGATTCATCACTCACAAAAGGCTAAAACAGAATTCGGTATCCCGGGACCGTTAAATAATACAGGTTCTTGAGACAAATTATGATTAGCAGAAGAGGCATTTTGTTTGGTCCCCTTAATAACTCCTCGACTGTCGGATCGAAGCATGGATTGGCTCTCGCTATGTATGGATTTGTGACTTTCTGATCGACTGGTACCAGTAACGAGAGAGAATGGAAGTCGGCTTAAGCCTGCTAAAAAGAAGAATCCAAAGGCTGTCTGTCAATTAATCCGCTAAATGCGTACCTACTGAGTGAAGTGGGTTCCTTATCTAGACGGATAGTGGGCCTCAATGCGGAATCTGGGGAAATGAGCAAGTTTGGCCACCCGCGTTGGTCTCGAAGTGTCTCCCAGGTGATCTTTCATGTCTAGAGTATTCTAGAAAAGATAACTTGTGATACTCGACTCGGGAATCTAAAAGCAAATGAGACACCGAAACGCAAATGTGTACTGTTAACTCAAGCAAAGATGTTTATTAGGCTCGAGGCCGCCTTGTACAACGTAAATTGACAGCTCAAACGTTGCTGTCCATGGCAACCACAATTGCTCTCATTGTATCGCTGGAGTGCCCTGGGGAACGATGAGGTTATTTTCCCATCTTTGCTTTTCCGCCTTCATCGTGTAGTAGCGGATTTATCTCTATTTCTATTGACGTTTTACATGAACATAACGATGGTCTTGTGGTGGTGGCTTAGGAGCCTCATCAACGCTTCACGGACGATCGTTCCTTCCCCGCCCTCAACACGCCGTGGACTCTCCAGAACTTATCTACCTTAGGCACGTACACACTGCTCACTAGTTGATTTTGGAGACAGGGAATGGGAGCAGTCTCTCCACCCAACTGGGCCTGGTAAGGCCCACCAGACTGCAATTGGTTTATTGAATCCATGTTGCCGCCCACGACAGACCGGTAGACAGGGATGACGCTCTTATCATCCAATAGGTGACACGCTAGTGAAGCCTGATCATCAGCCATCTTGCTGGCCTGTTACAGCATTTTCCAGTAATACTAGTAGTACTAACCCTCGCATCAGACCATTGTGCTGCAAACGTCGTCATGGAGAGAGGTCAGTGAAAAACGAAGTACGGAGTAGAATGTGACGAGTTTGTGAGAAGCCCATCAAAAGTGCAGTCCGGGAGTTGGTTGCCACTCGGCAGTGAAATGCGCGCCTAAATGTCTGGCCCATGGGAGCCCGTGCCGTTGCCTGAGAAGCGACGAGACATCTGGACTGTCAACTGGTCATTGATTGCACCATTGCCTGCTACAAGGCCTCAATTTGCTGGTAGGATTGAAGTGCGAGGAAGAGAGGAGCATAGTATATATTGCTAGGGACCCAGAGCTAAATATCGAGACGTAGCTATCTAAAGTACCTACTAGGTAGTTAGCTAGTCCAATCGACACTGGTCTGTGTTGGGTAAATGTCTGGTTGCTCACACCACATGATGTGACTGCCAGTCGTCACCCACCCACTCACGGTCCAGCAAATGCATTGTCGAAACACCACCGACCGCCAACTGCTACTCGGTGCATTTCGTGCATCCTCCTCCTTCCCCTCTTCTCGTTGATGCAGTCTTGTTTACGCCTTATCTTTCTTCCCTTGTAATCTACTTAAGTAGTTATTGATTCAAAACTATCAGACCTGTTTCAGCACCTGATCAAGCTTTGTACGAAGAAACTTGCATCGTGCACTGTCTTTGTGTGTATTTCCATTGTCCCTCTGAGAGGTACGCTCGCATGACTAGTTCTATTTCAAAATCCTTTGCTCAATACCCGTACCTCATGATTGACCTGTCTTAGGCTGGTCGATTTGCATTTTCTATGTCGTCACCCTTTGCCTCATTGGACTTGTTGACCAGCGGCGGCTGCTGCGTGGCGCGTTAGAAGGGGCATGATATCTGAGCAGCGCGCCCCTGGCATATCTATCATTTCTCTACAAACCCCAGTTTTTTGGCCGGCGAGGTCTTGAATCCCACTACACGAGAGTTGGATGCTAATCACTTCAACGGCCGTGGTTAGACCCTTAATGAATCGGGGGTTGGCTGACACGCTCACGATCTTCAGACCAGAGCCGAATCGATCTTACTCGTCATCTTGCAGTCAGCAACGCTGGAGCGGCCACGGTCAAGAATCACTTCCTGTTGACTGCAGTTCTTCTGCGTCATATATCCCGACTCTCTGCATACATGCACAGCACGCTCTCGACCTAAAGCGCTTGGCACGTCTCGGACATCACCATTCGCCAGCATGGCAACTATTGCTTTGCCGAGGCCGATACCTCCGCACGGCGCCAGCTCCGACATCGACGGTCCTATCACACCACCTCATTCGCTCGAAGATGTAAACCGACAAGTTCAAAGTCAGCGTTGTCCTGCTCCACTGCCAAATAAGCATATTCCGGCATGTCCCGCTGGGCCACCAAAAGTCGACGATACAGATACGCCGCCAGCATCTCCCAAGGGTGCTGCTGGAGCTTTGTGCCAGCAATCCTTACTCTTTCCGCCTGATAGCTATGTCAGATTGGAAATGGACAGCCTTTGTGTTTTTGAACTTGATGCCTCCCAGGTCAACAGGGCAATTGATTTCGGTTCCAGACAACCACTACCTTCACCAGAGGTGGTGTTCCCTTGGCTTCACGGCTTACATCCAAAGAATCATCTTCAGCAGGCATTCTTCATGGGCCGGAAAAGGTCTACAAGAAATCCACCTACGTGTAATCGAGGCATTTTGTTGGTAAAGGCAAATGGCGATCTTTTGACGGCACGACTTAAGGGAGCTGTTGCGCCTGATGAATTCCTGCAGCCTGGCCCCTGTCCCAGGTTTATCGAGGCGGATCCCGAGGAAGGGTTCTCGGTGAGAAACTTTCAGATTCAAACAGCAAAGGCGGCTCTTGTGTCTGATGTGATTGTATATGGAGAAAACCTTGCGGAAAGCAAGAAGGTAGCCTGGGAAGTTGCCGCGGCCCAGTTACTTCAAAGGCAATCACAAACGGCACAAGCGGGAAACTTCACCGAATATAACACCTTCGTTTGCACCAGTCCCTTCTCAGACTTTGAGGACGCTAATAGCGACATTGTTGCGATCGGCTCTGACGGTTGCGCGACTGGGAAGGTTCTCGATTTTGTTCAGCAGGAGCGAACGGAAATGTGGGACATGACCCAGGCGTCTGAAATATCTCACAACGTTTTCATGGGTCCCACCCCTGAAGCAGGCAGTCAAGAGGAGCAAATCTTTGATATATTAATTGAATGCAGCGATCTAGGCCACCTGGATCCTGGTGCCTTGCAACGCCTTGTCGAATCAACAGATGGGCCAGCTGGACGTTCGCATTTTGACTTCCCGTCGTCGGGTAGTATACTGCCACCAACATGGTCACACGATGAGGCTGACGGGATTATCGAAACGTGCAAGTGCATTTATTACCTATCGCATGGCATGCGGCTAAACAGTGGTGTTCACGACGAGAATACGCCGACTGGCACAACCGGCTTGACCGCCGGGACCTTTGAACCACGGAAAGTTCTCATTCATTGCGCCGATGGATACACGGAATCTACCATGCTGGGAATTGCGTACCTGAGTTACAGCACGGGACAACCGGTTTCAAATGCCTGGTTACAGCTCCATACTGCCAAGGGCCGAAACTTTTTTGCATATCCTACTGATGTCGCTCTGCTGACTGCAATTGCTCCTCGATTGTTAAAAGAATCCCCCGCTTGTGTTGGATATAGCCTTGAGAAAATTACCAATCTATTGCGGGATGAGCCTAAGTGGCTGCCTGGTCTCGACGGCTCCTTTCCGAGCCGAATTCTGGACTATCTGTATTTGGGCAATCTTGGTCACGCAAACAATCCGGATCTTCTGGCAGAATTGGGTATAGGCCAAATTTTAAGTGTCGGCGAGACAGCATCTTGGAAAGATGGCGATCTGGAGAAATGGGGTTCAGACAATGTTTACGTTGTCCAAGGCGTTCAAGATAACGGCATCGATCCACTTACAGATGAGTTCCCGGGATGCCTTGAGTTCATAGGTGAGAAAAAATTTGACCTTCCCAGGTCTAGTCTTATTTCTCAATCAGACTACTGTCTTCGAGTTTTGCTAACACTGAATTCATAGACAGAGGACGACGACGAGGGACGGCAACTCTGGTGCACTGTCGGGTTGGGGTATCGCGTAGCGCCACCATCTGTATCGCTGAAGTAATGAGAGCCATGGGGATGTCATTTCCTCGTGCATATTGTTTTGTTCGAGCAAGGCGTCTCAATGTTATCATTCAGCCTCATCTACGATTTGCGTATGAGTTATTACGTTGGGAAGAATGGCTGCAACAACAGGGAAATGACTCCGCGCCATTGAAGCGCGAGTTGGAATGGCAGGACATTGCGCGAGAAATCGCCCTCATGAATCGCCCTTACTCAAGGTGACACGAAAGCTCGTTGTTCGCTATTCATTCTAAAATCATAGGCACCTGTCTCTGAGAGGCAACAGATTTAGGGTCCACACCTAGCTCTCGCAACTGCACCTTGATTGGCATACCATCACGCCATGGGTAAGCGCAAGACAGTGCTAACACACGGGATGGCCTTCATTGTTGCATGTTTTGTTATCCATTCATTGGCTTGTTTGTTATTATTTCTTGATGAGCGTCTTGCCTGCGCCACATTGAACTTTCTACCTGCCGAACGTCGCCTGTTCTGTTCCAGGTGATATACTCTGCCTTTTTATTGTTGTTTACGGGCTGTTAAAGTAGGTTAAATCCAAGGCCCCTTGAGCATTTGGTTTTATTCAAACTTTTTGGAGCGTTGGATACTCGCATCCGTGGATATGATGACTTATGATGAAATGGACTTTCTCATATCGGGTTCCGCAATGTATTAAACAAGCCACCAAGAATTTATCTCTGGAATAGAGTTGGTCTCTTATTTACATGTTTGCGACGCTGTATCAACGCCTATTCTGAGGTGTGTGTGAAATGAACATGACGCAGTTTTCCTGAATTTCCAAGATTGGCAAGATGAAGCGTATTGCGAATTCGCCCAACTTCGGTATTTAGTAATACTTTAGTTGTCTGCAGGCTGCAGATCCCGTTGAAAAATGCTTATCGGCTTGATGCAACGATGTCTTTGCGTATCAACTCGGGACTGTTGCGTGTATGGTATTCGCTGCCTTGAAGCGTGAAGGCCGACTCATGGAGAACATCGTGTGCAAAATAACAACAGCAAGGAGCTAAGAGGGAGGATACGACCCATATGTTGGGACGTCATTTTTTTCGTCACCTTCAAGAACCCTGCGGGACAGTGTGAGTCTCGATTGTTAGTTCAGGTTTATGGCGCGAGATTCAAAAGACAGAACGATTTTCAATCAACAAAATAAGCAAGGCTTTTGCGGAGCAGGGAAAGTCTTACGAAAATTGCTTCACCAGGTATCCTTCTCCGCCGTTTTCCATGTCGATATTGTAAACGTAGAAGCCGCCATCGCTGGTTACAACCATAACTTGGGGGCTACTACTACTCATCGCTACGACACTTCGCAATGGTCCAACAATGGAGCTGCCTGTTGCGCGCGGAGTCAGTCCCGAGACTCCGGATTTCGGTATTTTGATGAACGCAAAGTCTCGTAGCGGCTCCCACATTTCGGTGACAGTCTGGGGCAGATAAGATCCAACAACGCCAGCAACACCACGACCCATGATTTGTGATGATCGACGCAACATGTTACTAAATGACCCGCTCTGCCTTCGATGGCCCTGTTGACCTCCACTGGGAAATGCGTTCCCCGGTCCCGATTCTGCTGCATCGCTTCTGGGGGAATCTGTGGCGCTATTCCCTGGCGAGTCGCCATCATCGTAGCTCCTAGCTCGCGACCAACGATCCTGTCTTGGAGGACTGGGCGTTTCGATTGGCACGCCTCCAGGAGTCGTATGTCCAGGTGGTGTTCCCAACCGAAAGATGTGGACAGTATCGGAAGTAGAAGACACGCATAGAAGGGTTGAGCTGAGATTGAAAGACATGCTGTAAATGGTTGAAGGATAGGTTCCGCGTCGAAATTGATACAGTTTCTGGCCTCTTGGGATGGAGAAAACCCGAATGATTGTCCCGGTCTCACTCGCCGTGGCCAAGAGTGTGCCGTCGCTGTTCAAGCATATGCAAGACAAGGGTGATCGATGGGCTTCGATAACATTTACCGCTTTGAGTGTTAATGTGTCAAATACGAGCACTTCGCCCGATGTTGGCGAGACGTATGTAGATTGTGGTGGTGCATGAGCTGGGCGGCGACTGTCCGAATCTTCCCTGGGTTTGGGGAGGGGATACGCAATGAAGCAGTTTTCCGACGAGGGAGACAGTGCGCATATTGCAGAGGGGTTCGGCGACGTTGTTATGGTGTGGAGGAGGCTCATGTTGCTAATGTCGTACAAATATATCTCCTCCTCCAATATGACGGCAAGACGCTTTCGATTTAGTCGGACGGCGAGAACAGCAGATGGAAACGTAAGCTCGCATATAACAGATGCTCTCTGTATCAGTGTAATTGCGAGTGTAAGCGAAAATATAACACCTTGAGTACGATCCAAGGCAGCCTACTTTTGTATTCTGAATTATAAGATGTCGTGGAGATAGTATGAGCGCGACAAGTGAGGTCGAAAACAGCATCTCGATAATAGCAATGTTTCCATCGTCGCTACTGAAGATTCGGGAGAAGGGATCAGTATGGTATATACGGAACCCCTTGGAGGTACCTGAAGAAACAAACGAGTTGAAGACGTGATATTAGTATATGATTTCGGTAGAGTAACCATGGCTATCGTGTCAATACTCACCAACAGCAAGACAGCTGTGGTCCTGGTTGAAGGTAATAAAATTGAGCGATGGGTTAGCCATTGTTACTGTCCTGGCAGCAGAAGCACAGAAACGTGCCCACTGCGTCCCAGCGGTTGTGACAGGTCCCGGTGGAATCGTGATTAAGTTGGGTTGTGGCAACGTGGAGTGATCAACGACGTCGTGGGGACGAGCTTCGACTGTGTCGAGGTTGCGGGTAAGTAGTCCGGGTTCAAGACAGCTCGGCAGCGATAGCCAAGTCACTCAGAAAAGGCCGTCTCGACAACGCCAGGCCGGCAGACACATATGACTCGTTAGACCTGATCAGGTGATGGACAACCGACCTGCTGCGTTTGCAAGCGGGGAAGGCTTAGGTTGGCCGCGATGCTGGCTCTTTCAGGACTTATGTAGATTGGAGGTAATTCGACGTCCTGTGAAACGAGGACTGGCTGATGAGGAGCAGCGCAGATCTGATCTGGGCCTGGGATGCGTGGGGTTGCCTCGGTGGCTAGGGGGCTGTTTAGCTGCCTACTCACCTACTTAGGTAAGTACTTAAGTAGGTACTTACTTACAGAGGAACTAGTACGTCTGGTAGTACAAGTGCCAGGCATCTTAAAATGTGATCGTGGAGCTGTCGCATCACATGCCTATCCTATAGATTCAATGATGGCTAATTTCTGGGCCCCTGGGCACCCGGGTACTTGGGATGGATATGAGCTTATTAAAGAACTACGCTGTACCTCTGGTCAACCTTCGCCCCTGTTGGTGTGGCTTGTGAGGTATCGTGCGATCGGTTGAGTAGCGATTCTTGCTATGGCCCTTGGAGTTCGCACACTCGAGTACTTACATGTACCTACTAGGTACCTGCAGGCTAGTAGTAGCTGCACATACATGTGTGCGAAAACCCCCCGCCCCCGCGAAAAAACTTTGTGCACATTTCATGTTGAATAACATGACAGTATGGTATCTTAGCTCAACCCGCCACCGGTAGCCCATCAGCAAGCTTCTCAGAGTCCACGGCGAATTACCGAGAGCATCTATGGTACGGAAGCAAAGATGGCAGCTGCTGCAAAGGCTCCGATGTCATACGGGCCACCCAAATCCCACGTCCTGGACGAATTAGTTATGGGAGTAAGTCTCAGAGCACGGCGACTAGCCTATCCTTCCTCGCGCTGGAACAGGACAGAATCAAAGAGTGGCAATGCACTGTTGGCCCGAGTGAATATCGGGGCATGCAAGAGAACATAGTATCACGAGTAAAACTAGGCCCATTATCCTCTCCTCAAAGACTGACCTCAGCAGCTTGATTCTCTAGACACCGAGGCTAATCCCTCGTAACATAGACAAATAGCAGCAGTATCGTCTCTAAGCGCAGCGTGGAGAAGCTGTATTTCCCCGAAGAACCACATTACTTCCGCTATTTCGTGAAAAAGTTTCAGAGACGTGCACCGCTCATCAATCGAGGATACTGGCTGAGACTCAGGGCCATTGATGTTGTGGTTAGACAGTTTCTATTCGAGAACCGAACCACAAAAAAAATTGTGATCAATCTCGGGTGTGGCAGGTGAGTACGGAACAAAGATAAACATACTTGCAGTCTGGGTGCTCAGATACTGAGCAAACTAACACGTCCCATGCTTAACAATCTAGCGACGTTCTCCCATGGCAATCACACGCTCGACATGCCTTGCTCTGCGACGATGTATTATTTGTGGATATAGACTATCCTGACTTGATGCTTAAAAAGCGATCAATAGTGCTGGAAACACCCCAGCTGCGAGAAATTTTGGGTGAAAATTTTGTCGTTAGCCAACCGGATGAGGATCAGATTCTCCTTCAAAGTGATCGATATTGTCAAATCGGGTGTGATCTTCGAGATATTTCAAGACTGAGACATTCGTTAGAGACGCTTTCTCCTTTAGCTGACTGCCATGTGCTATTCGTCGCAGAAGTATCCATCACCTATATGGACACAAAGTTTGCCGATGCTTTGATTCACTGGTCAAGTAGTGTTGGGAAAGGTGAGTTAAACACTATGGCCGATACAATGAGGTTGGACAAATGGCAACCAAACCAGCCAACATCCAATTGGAAACAGAATGCGCACAGAAAGCAATACTGGAACTGTCTGCTTACTTGAATCACAGCGGAATTCTGCCTTCTAGAGCAATTATTGCCCCATGGACCGGACCATCCGTTTGCGGCAACCATGCTCAGTCACTTTGACAAACTCAAGACACCACCAAAATCAGTGAGCAAATATCCAACCCTTGCCAAGCAAGTCAGTAGATTCACGGGCCTGGGCTACACAAATATCAATATTTGGGACCTGTGGGAAGCTTGGTCAAGCGCAAAATTCGTAAGCAGCTCTGAAAGATCGGCCTTAGACAACATAGAACCCTTTGACGAATGGGAGGAGTTTGTATTATTCGGACGACACTACTTTATTCTTCATGCTTCGGCCACGCATCAACAGGAGAAGATACCATTCTCACCAAAATACAATCACAAAGAGCCGTGTGAAAAAGAAAGCATATTCCCCGTTTCAATGGTCAAGCATGACGTACAAACATCGAAGAGGCGATTTGGCGACGTACTCGCAATCACGGATCCCACTGGAGCCGCATATGCTGTTCATATAATGGGATTGGGAACAGCTGGCAGAGAAGAATCACACGATATCTACAGTCTCGATGGGAAAATGGATATGCCCATTGTTCCCATTACTGGACCGCCCCCGCGCATGTGCCACTCGATAACTGACTTGGGAGACTATGGCATGCTTTTGGTCGGTGGTCGCACTTCCCCGGCCAATACTTTATCGGACTGCTGGGTTCTTCATAAGGGGCCGTTGTGTAAATGGGTACCTACCTCAAGCCTTCCAATCCCATTGTTCAGACACGCAGCAATTCGCCTCCGCGGCAGTTCTCTGGCCCTTATCGTAGGTGGCAAAACGGGACCATCCACAATCTCGGAAGACTGCTACGTTTTCCATGCGACGAAAGGCTGGTCGAAATGTGCAATCTTGGGAGAAGCACCTGGACCTCTGTTTGGTGCGGTGCTGTGCAATTCACCTGCTCGCCTCGCATCCGATGGCATATTTACCGGCCTGCTCGCTGGTGGGATCGGGCAAGATGGTTTGATAAGCTCAAAGAAGTATAGGTGGAAGCTCGATAATAATGACTCACAGGTAAAGGAAAAGGTGACCCTGTCCTGAAAAAGAGATTGTAGCTAACTATACTCTCGTCCAGCCAACCATTCGATTTACCAAGCATGAGGAGGAGTTCGAACAACTCGATGATCTTGCGGTGTTTGGAGCGAAAACAGTTAATCTAGAGTCACAAACATTGGTATGTGGAGGAGTAGGAGCGTGCTCCAGGTCACAAGGTCAAAGCATCCTTATGGTATACATGCCCGATAATGATGCGTATGCTGTGTCCAAGATGGGCACTTGCCCTGAGGGCAAGGCTCTGCCATTTATGGTCGGATCAGCCATAATGGAGGCCAAAGACAGCATTGTGATACTTGGCGGTGGAGCCACGTGCTTCTCAATGGGTACTTTTTGGGAAACTGGAGTCTTCCAACTCTCCTTCAAGGGCAAAGAAGATGATGGCGTGGGGAGTTGCGGATTCACAAGACATGAACCTCTGAAAGTACGCTTTTTGGCGTCGCAAAGGATTGTCAGTAGCACGAGGCAAACACTGCGGCAGGAGGCGAATTTGGAAAAGGCGACTGTTGCCACAATCCCTCGCGTTCGCCTGGAAACGCCAGCCCAGTTCGAAGACATTTTGCGGACCGGGCTGCCAGTTATTATCTCGAACGCCAACTTCGGTGGCTGTGTGCAGAAGTGGACACCTTCATATATGATAGACCGAATTGGGTACAATACCAAGGTGTGTGATTGTTTTGGCAAGCTTTTGGCCACGATATGTAGATGGAACTGACATCCCTAGGTTGTCGCACATGAATGCAAACATGATCATGAAAGAATGGACTTCAACTCAAAGAACTTCCGATACGTTACTGAGCCTTTTGGCAAAGTTATGGAACGTGCCGAGGCCGGGGAAAGGATTTACTTACGCGCACTATCCCGAGACAAACCGTCAGAACGACCAGCTAATATCCAAGACGACTTTTCGGCATTAGCGGAGGATTTTTGCCTGCCAAGGGAGCTGGACTCGGCCAACCGGTGCCTATTCAGCTCTGTTCTTAGAGTATCGGGGCGTATAAATATGTGGCTACACTATGACGTATGTTTCCGAGTATGTGCATCCACATGGTACACAGACATGCTAATCACTCTATTTTCTCGATTAGGTCATGGCCAACGTCTATGCCCAAGTGGCAGGATCAAAGCGCATGGTACTGTTCCCTCCTCGCGATGTAGAACACTTGCAATTTGCTCCCGGGGCATCTAGTTCAAGCCTCAACGTCTTTTCAGAGCTACAAACGTCGCGGATGGCTGCGACACACCCGTACGAAGCAGTGCTTGCTCCGGGAGACATGTTATTTCTTCCCCCATGCTGGCCACACGCAGCTGCAACGATCACGGACTGGGGCATAGCTGTAAATGTTTTCTTTCGAGACTTGGAAAGCGGATACGCTATTGGCAGGGATGTGTATGGTAACCGAGACCTCGCTGCATATGAGAAGGGGCGGTTAGAAGTTGCCCGCGTGGGGAAAAGCTTTCAACATCTCCCATTAGAGACGCGTCGATTTTACCTGAAACGACTGGCAGAGGAACTAGAATCGACTGCTGAAGGGGTATAGATAAATGTTGTGTGCGCCATTGACCTTTGAAGTAGACCGAAGTAACAACGAGCCGACATGGGAAGTGCGTGGCAAAAAGGGGTTGATCAGATGACCTGCTCTCCTATACAAAGCGATATTCTATGCCACTATTGTACATCGTGAACTTTGGAGGTCGTCAACAATGTGCAGCATGCCAATCCAACACATCTCACTTACCAAACAAGCCGGCATCAGCCTGTTCCCCAACAAGGCCAGTAGTAGTTCGTGGGGTGACAAGCTCAAGTGGTCTAGTCCAGTTAAAGTTTGATGCGACCCCTCCCTCCCCCGCAATGTCTTGATCTGAACTACCTACTACCAGCAAGTTGCGAGCTGAAACCTTTAAAATACGGTCCAGTGCCACCATCGCAGCTGTTGCCGAGCTGCTCAGTTTTGTCTCTTGGAGTTACAAATGGCGTCCAGCCTGAATTGACAATACCCGAGGCAGATGAACACATGTCGTATCACCTGGAATGGACCTCCATAAGTAGAAGCGACACGGCCCCAATACCCCAATTCAATTGATCCGAGACCGAGTTCATCCTCCTGGAGACAGCTGGCAGCGTTGAAGTCGATGGTCACCGTCACGAAGTGAAGCACAGCTTTAGCAATAACCTCTGTTCACGCGCCGCATACGAGTCAAACGAAAACCAATGCTTGAATATCTACAGTCAGCGGCTTTCTCAACTTTGAAGCCCACCCGGATCACCAGTTCGTTTCCACCGCCGCCGCCACGTAACTTCACATTCAACTCGGGGCAGCCCTAGAGCTTGCGTTGTAATATTGATTCGACCACCACATCCTTGGCCGGAATAGGCACTCTCAATTATGTCATCTGCTGCTAGTCGTGCCATTAGGCGGCTTATTGTTTCCGGCGTATTTGTAGCTGGTGGAGGAGCCCTGATATACAGCTACAGACCTCGAAATATTCCGGGCTCCTCCTCTGCCGCTGTTCCGCCGCCTACTTACGGTCCAGATGGATCCTTTACCAGGCCACGGTTCCCGAGCATCAAGCCACGACGTGAACAATTGGCAGACTTGCGTCGAAGTGCCGAACTGGATTCTGGGAACGAATACGATATGCTGATTATTGGAGGAGGAGCTACAGGTGCCGGCGTAGCGCTTGATGCTGCAACTCGCGGCATGAGAGTGGCCCTCGTCGAACGAGATGATTTCAGCAGTGGGACCAGTAGCAAGAGTACCAAACTTGTCCATGGAGGTGTTCGCTACCTCGAAAAAGCAGTGTGGAATCTTGACTATAACCAGTATCAACTTGTCAGGGAAGCGCTCAAAGAAAGGAAGTATTTCTTGCAAACCGCTCCGCACCTGAGCATGTGGCTACCCATTATGCTGCCTCTTGATAAGTGGTGGAAAGCGCCTTACTATTGGGCGGGCACCAAGTTTTACGACTTCTTGGCCGGCAGCGAAGGAATTGAAAGCTCCTATTTCTTGACTCGTAGCAAAGCTCTCGAGGCATTCCCTATGCTGAAGCAGACGAATTTGGTTGGGGCACTAGTCTATTACGATGGAGCACATAACGACTCGCGGATGAATGTTTCAATTGCCATAACTGCAGCTCTCTATGGCGCGACGGTTGCCAACCATGCTCAAGTCACCGGCCTCATCAAAGATGATCATGGACGTCTTTGCGGAGCTGAGGTTAAGGATCTCATCGCCGCTCAAGACGGCGGACCGGTGCAAGAGTTTACAGTGCGAGCGAAGTGCATAGTCAATTGTACCGGCCCATTCACCGACTCGATAAGAAAGATGGATGACCAAGGGTGCAAGGAAATTGTTTCCCCCTCATCTGGCGTACACGTCATTCTTCCCGGCTACTACAGCCCTGGAAAAATGGGACTTCTTGATCCTTCGACATCTGATGGCCGTGTTATCTTCTTTCTCCCATGGCAAGGGAATACCATCGCAGGTACTACTGATTCACCAGCTCCAATTTCATCCACTCCGCTACCGGATGAGGAGTCTATCAAGTGGATACTTGGAGAAATCAGCCAGTATCTGTCTCCGGAGATTAATGTGCGCCGAGGGGATGTGTTGGCGGCCTGGTCTGGAATCCGGCCGTTGGTCAAAGATCCAAAGGCCAAGAACACAGAGTCTCTGGTACGCAACCATCTTGTTGACATATCCCCGTCCGGTCTCTTGACTTGTGCTGGTGGGAAGTGGACTACTTATCGCCAAATGGCAGAGGACTGTGTCGACGCTGCCATTAAAGAGTTTCAACTTAGTCCTAGTCCTGTCATCAACGCACCACGCGTCAGTGGCACTGAAGTGATCGACGATGGTGCTATTTTGGATGGCTCCTGTCAGACTCACAAGGTTCGCTTAATAGGCGCCCATGGTTTTAGCAAAACACTTTTCATACCAATTATCCAGCATTTTGGCGTTGAGACGGAGGTAGCCAAGCATTTGACAGAAAGCTATGGCGATCGGGCCTGGATTGTTGCGGGACTGTGTGGGCTGACTGGCCAGAGATTCCCGGCTCGAGGAGAGCGTCTATCACGCTTGTATCCATTTGTTGACGGTGAGGTTCGTTATGCAGTAAGGCATGAGTTTGCCCAGACAGCTGTTGACGTTTTGGCACGCCGAACCCGGCTTGCTTTCTTGAATGCGCAGGCAGCTCTGGAGGCGCTCCCTGGCGTAATTGATATCATGACCGAGGAGCTTGGCTGGGATTGTCAGCGCCAAGATCTTGAATGGAAAGATAGTAAGCATGTTCCCCTCCTCTCCCTGTCCCTTGATCGGATGCGTGGCCCCGTCGGCACTGCAGTCCGTAAAATGACCAAAATTTTGAAAGAGCAGGGCAGAAAGACCCTGCCTATACACGATAACCATACCTCCTTCAGAAGCGATGCGGTTTGCGCTAACCAAACAATCGTAGCTGTGACTTTTTTGAGATCCATGGGCCTGCCGCAACCAATGCTCTCGGCTTCAAGGAGGCAGGTAGAGAAACGTGAGCTAGATTTTGAAAATTCACTTGAGTGGAACATGTATTCTCGGCACGATAAGCCCGTTGATGATTGACTCGTTAACGGAAACACGCAATGATTGGATTGCCGGAATGCTCTGTCCAGGTGCAGATACTCTTTTTTCTTTCGTTTTTGAACGATTTTGAAGACTCGGGCGCTGAAGATTGAAGTGAAACTTCAGACGCAAATGTAAATAACAGGCGCAACCATAGCGATGGAGTGACAATCCTGGGTGGAATATGCTAGCGCTCGCAATACCAGGCTGACTACGAGAATTTGATCTTGATCTGTCGCGGAGTTTGTATGGCATGAGAAAGACGCATCCGCAGTTTTACTTACTCGCAGATGAGACTGAACTTTGAGAGAAGTGGAGGGACCTCTACAGGCCTTTCCTGGAAACTCTTATATTTTCTCTCACCTAGGCGCTTTTGATCTTGTGTAGTCATGTTGTGTGTAATAATCCGGGTGCAACCGAGACGGGTACATGCTTACGGGAAGGGGGTTGGCTCTGATTGAGACCACGTACTTCGGCTCTTTGGCGTGTTGTGCTCCGGGTTTTACATCTACACACACAACAGGCTGGACGCAGTGTAATTGCGTGGAGCAGGCATAAATCGTCTCTCCCAAGAGCTTGTATCCCATGTGTGCACACCGTTGAAATCTTCCACTTACCTCCAAGTTTGCCACGGCCACGACAGCATCAACAAGGTACAAATATCACGGGTGCTCAGAAAGCAAAATGAGGCGCACCGCAAAACCCGTCAAAACGCGGTTGCTGGCGCCCAATCCCAGATGAAAGTCTATTTTCGCTCCCACATTCTTATTCATGTTCAAAAGCACAAGGGGGCAAGAACAAAAGGGTCAAAGACTGTGGGGTGCGACATGGGCCGAGTCGCCAGGCCACGGTACTACGAATCGCCCGCCAGCAAACAGTATGGGCCTCACTACCGGGGTTCAAGAGGCAGAGGGCATTTGAAAAGACAGAAACGCGGTATATTAAAAGGTAGGAACGAATATCCCTAAACGACAGTTGGGCTGCAAGTGGAATAACATCTATACACTGACACCCAGCGAGGATATCTAGGCATCTTCTGACAGAGCAGTGTAGACTTTGCAATGCTTGGACGATGTGCCTGATGGTACGAGAGGATGGTATCCAGGAATTTCAAATGATCGTGGCCTAAAATTATGGTATCTCGATTCGAGTGATGTTCCCACGTGTTGCGAGATTGCCTGCAAGCCATAGGCCAGTTCTCGTGAATAAGCTTGTGGGCGGGAGAGATTTGATGGATTATGTATAGACTTTCTTCGCCACAAGGTAAGTAAGTAGAGATGGCTCGAGGATAATGTGACCTACGACCAACGCGCTCCCATCTGGCATGAAGACGACGGGGAAGAGTCGACTCACTCACTACACCTGCCAGCATGATATCGGATTGCAAGCCAGGACATCTGGGAAGGTGGTTCATTCCTGGGTGCCATGACTTTCAAGCAACAAGAATTTACACGGCAAGTTTAGAACATCCATGAATCATCGTGTATCATTATCTCTTATAGTAAACGACAACTCACCCTGGTAACAATAAAACAATCAAGAATTCCCCAGTGTGTACACTACCCCAAGTTAAACTCCGTGGTATACTATGCCTCTCTATGATGCTTAAATCTCCGTATATGTAACTCCGTTGTTATGATGAAACGCTAACGCTAATGATGATTGACGTCGTCCTTCGATCCAGGACCTAGTTGGTCCCTGCTCGAGTCAAAACCGAAACTCCCGGCTCTAATACATTGGTGTGATGTGTACACGAAAAGAAAAAAAAAAATCAAAGCATCCATACATATGGATAGGAAGTTGAATCCGTTGCTCAGGTTCTCGTGACATTCCCTTGACTTAACATTGAATGCATTGACAAGGTAATCGACCAAGAGCATTCGGAACTGTTGTTAAAACAGTGGCGGCCAGCAATTTCGTTTGTATGAGTTTTCATCAAGGCAACGACCAGTGACGAACAATTGTATTGGGAGGCCAATATATGAAACATTCCGTCATTTGGTGATGCTATTGTGAAATGGCTCGAAGCGAAAAGAAGCGGCGTTTGCCAATATAGCTCCTTCAAGGGTGGCCGTGACTTGGTTCCCCAAGAGCCGCGTCATAATCAGAAGATGAGGATGTTGGGGTTGACCGACGACTAGAGGCTTTTCGACTAAATCCCAATTTTTCGCCAACCTTTTTCCAACCTTTATTATGCGCGGCCATGGCACGTTGAAACCCGCCCGGAGAGGAGTTGAATGTGTACTCTGAAGTCGGAGGAGTAGTCGGAGGGGTCATGGGTTCCGGCCCGGATGGTGAATTGCTATCGCTATCATCGGTAAGACTGTCAAAGTCGGCTGAATGAGGAGAAGCTACTGAACGTCGGGGTTGATCGGGGTGTTGAGCAGTGTTTTGAGACCGGCGGCGTTGCTGGTGGTGGTGGTGGCTACTGTCGTCATTCTGGCCCATGAAATGAAGAGGGGCGACAGACTGCAAGAACGGAACCAAAAGGGAATCATTCATAAGTTCGTAAATGATTCGACCAGCCTCTTCCAATTCTGCGGGATGCGGAGCAGACGGACCGCTAGGCAGACTTAGGAGACGATCTCTGACGCGGGCCGGAATGTTCACCTCCCTAGGTGCACAGGGAACAATATACACTTCCATGAGTTTGTCCCACAAACCACACACACGTGCATTGCTTTCCTGAGATGGAGGGTTTTCTGCGGCAAGTTGGTCGTAGAACGCAGCATATCGCTGTGAGTCAAGAGTGAACTCAAGCGTCTCCATGCAATGGTTTTGTGAAAGATATGCCATGAAAGCGCTCAACGTCCAGGGGGGTGGGGAGACGTCGAGCAAAATCTCAGTCAAGGTTGGAGGTCTCGTTGCCATCTCGATGGGTTGAGGCGATGGCGAAGGTGACATAAATATGCCGCTAACGTGGCGGGAAGACGTAGGACTGAAAGAACAGCAATCCTCAAACGCAGATAAAGGCGGGGAAATGTGTTCTTCTCGTATCGGTATCGTTAGATAGACTGGAGATGTTCGCCGTAACCTGGGTTTGACCATGTCTACTCAGCACTCGGATGAGTACGATGAAGCCTACCCGCTGGGTGATGGCAGACAAGAGATGGCACAGCCGACCGGAGTAAAGTGTCGAGCCGAACGGATAGTATCGTCGGGAAACTGGCCGGACGTGGGCGCAACAGATAGCTGGTTGGGTATCCCAGCTAATGCCCTGCAATTTCGGGCTCTGTGTTGTTGCAACCTTGTAAATTAAAAAAAAAAAAAAAAAAAAAAGTCTTCCCCTGCAACACAGACCAAGCCTCGGAGGTATTCAGCGCGGTGAAACTGCGTCGTTTGAAGATGCAACAAATTCCCCCTTCTGTGTAATATCGGGATTCGCTGGAAGAATTCCAGCTGCTGGCGTGGGCCAATATATGTGAAGCAGATGACAAAGGTGGCTGGGAGAACTCCAGTCAAGATGAAACCTGTAGTCAGACATGCATTAAGTCCAGCTGCAAAGGAACAGTCCGTGGGCGCACAAAATGTTGCCAATAGTGTAAACTCGAAAGGACAGCGCGCAGATCCGGGAGTCTATGCGAACGGCAGTTTGGCTAGGCACCGAATAAGAGCTTCAAGGTCTAGTATGATTGGTGTCGACGGGAAGTTCGCGTGATGCCGGGTGTCGTAGTTAAACTGGTGGAGCCGTAGCAGGCAGAGAGGGGATACCCCGGGAGTTTTTGATTACCGCTAAACACTGATGACGACGCTGCGCTTCAAGTTCCCCGTTTGATACACGTGGGACAAAGGGTGCTGGTTTATCGACGCTGTCGCGATGTAGCCGACGGGGTTTTATGGTGCAAAAGGTTGGCAGAGTGCAGGCTGAGGCGAGGGCCCGGGTTGGAACGCGGCCGAGATGGACAGTCGAGAATGGAGCAGGAAGGGGAACGATAAACGTTCAGCAACGGGCTTGGGATACCGAGGAGGGTAAAAACAAGGAAGAGACCAGGACGAGCGGCTAGAATGGGGGTTGCGATGTGTATGTATTATGTATGTATGTATGTAGTATGTAGGGCGACGGAGGTGAGGAGTCGGTGGGGGGTGGATGATGATGAGTAACAGAGAGACAACTGATGATGGCAGATGTTCAGTCGTGTACATATTGTACATGTCCATAATGCACCAGCACAGGACCATGTCCGACAGGAGTGGCGACGGCGAAGGAGCAGGGGATCTAAGGCGCCGGCGGGCAGCCGGCAGTGGAGGATGGCAGAGAGGATGGCCCTTGGACGAGGTGGGGCGGGGTGGCACCTGGAGGGGGCAGGCATCGCGAGAACAGGCCGTCCAAGCCAACCAAGCCTGCCAAGCCCTTGCTTGTGCGTGCCACCAGCCCGCGCTAGGAACAAGCACCTGGGCAGGGAGGCAGGGAAAGACAGCAGAGAAGGCAGGGAGGGCTGTGGACTGCTGTGGGCTGGAGAGAATCACCAGTCAAGTCTGGTCTGGTCTGGTTGGCGACGGCATGGAACCTTGGAACTTTGGAAGGCATCAAGGCAAACAGCACTGCCCACCGCCCACTGCCCATGCACGAACCGCTTGTATACTGGAGCCTTGCAGGCGAGGCCATGCGTTCATGCCTGCCCAGGTACCAAGGTACTTGAGCACGTTCCTGGTTGTTATTGACATGCATGTATGGAGTACTTGGGCCTGGTGGCTCGTCCTCTTTCATCAAACGCTGCCGGCGGCCACCTTGGCCCAGCGACAGGCTCTCGAGCCCTCAATTCTCGTCATGCACGCCACCGCAGTTGCAACCACGATTGAACGGCCGGCAAGGGGCGTGTGTGTGGTGCGTGTCTAGGGGCAACAAGGGCGAAGGCGCGGGGGGGGTTCTGAAACGTGAAGTTTTGTTTGCTGGGTTCAACATTGAAGCTTCCGGGACGAGGACCGACTTTGCATTCCATGATGTGAACCCCCTCCCGTACGAGTGAGCACACTGGCCCCAAGCTGTATGGAAGTTAAGTACTCCTCCGTATGGAGAATGGAGAAGAGCCTGCATTCAAGAGTTACATCCCGCCACCTGAGAGCATGATCATCGTAAGATGTAAAACCCATGTGCATGTGACCTTTTCCAACTGGCATCAGTTGGTTGATAGAAATTGCTAGTGTCCGAGGCATACGGAGTACTCCGTACATATAGCTGTGTCGTACAGATCTGGCATCACACAGCCTTTTCAACCTAGATGACTAGCCCCAAGTAGAGATTCCGTTTCAATGTTTCGCAAACTCGAGCGAGAAACACGCATGTAATACGTGAATGGCCAGCCTATGGTTCATAAAACTGGCGGGCAGAGGGCACAAAGGTACCTATTTATTGTACTTATTTCATCTTGCGCATCTTGTGTGACGTTTTCCGTTCTTCGCGCCCGCTCCATTGACGGCAAATTGACGGCAGCGGCCTCGTTGGCAGCTACTCTTTTTGAAGATTTACACGTGGCCAACGGCATTTGGGACTCTGTTCAAGCCAATATACTTGCGGTAATTGCATGCACACTGTCATCCAACTCGACAAACGACTCACGCAATCAAGCAAGCTAAGCAGGCAGAGAGGATTGAACCTGACTGACATGGGCCTTACTCGCCAGTGGATTTACTGCCCCGCTTCCCCCGACGTTTGCCTGTTTCAAAGATGCTCAAGTGATTTTTTTGCAGGTCGTCATTACGCGCTAGAATGGCGCTAGAAACCAGTTCCCAAGTGGATGCTGGCAAGGACACGGTCGCTTGCTGTTGTTATGTATTTTTGTACAATGCAGCACAACATATGACTAGTACCAAGAGACTAAAGGAGGGGGGGGGGGGGAAGTCCTCGACTCCGTTAGCTCCGTATTTGGTCGTCTGCCATCCAGTCATGTCTAGGTTTGCTATTTTAATATGGGGCAGAAGCTTCTCTGGAAGAGGCGCGCGGGTCACACTGAGGCAAGTGGCATCATTCAAGTAAGGTGATTGGCCTTTGACGTACTCCGCACGGAGTACATATGTACTTGCTGAAAATCGCGTCTGGCTTCCTGTCCATTCCAGTCGAATGACGAGGAGGCCGATTTGGCATGGCATGGGGCTGGCCGCGCCGGCAAGGTCGTAGAACCACAGCCCTGTCTCGCTCACGGCCAAAACGCCGCGAGAAAACTTGCCGAGTTTTCGCAATCTCAGGTGTTGAGATTACTTTACTTGGACTGTTTGACAGCGCTGAAACATTGAAACATTGGGTGAGGCCCCTCCTTTTTATTTGGTTTTACTAGTAATTTACATATTTATTAGGGCGGCGTCTACCTGCATCTTGACTGCTGCGTACTTGAGAGTAAATTATGCATATTCACATGAACTTTGAGTGAAAACTATCGACCAATACATTCAAGAAACTCACGCTGGAGGACTGTCGACAGCCTCTCCCGCTCCCAGCTTCCTCGATGCCGCAAACAAGCCCCCCTTCCCCCAAGTGTGGGAAAGGTTGCTCGCCAATGAATGAATGCCTTTGGACGGAAACCATGGTCTGATAACTACCTACTAGGTAGTGATCTTCCCGAGCATGGTTTTCTGCAACCCTGGCGTCACATCGCCACACTCTCGTAGTTCACTTACTAGTCGTCCTGGATTTATGCAGTGGCAAAAGGGCAAAAGAGACAGTCACACAACGTGAATGTGAATGATCACGATTACCGCATCATTTAAGCTAGACATGGTGCTACGGCTTGACGAGTGCGTGCAGCAAGCTGCTACGCTCGTCCGTTCGGGGCATGGCATGACATTATGACATTACAATGCCTGCCACGCCTCCGCTACCTACTTTACAGTTTCTTTGCCTCGCCGGAAGTCTAGTCGATCTATTGCAGATCTGCATGGGCTACTGGTGCGGTATTGCAAGGAAGGGAACTTTGTCAATTCTGTTGCCTCCCACAAGCTTCAAATCCCCAGACCATCGACATGAGCTAAGGGACAGAGCCCGGCCGAGAGACTGAATGTCCGTTGCACGTAGCGCCAGGTCCGGCATGCGGCCGAGTAACGGTCCACGTTCTCTCTCTCATTTGAGCAAGCGGAGTAACAAGCTCCAGTTGGAGTGCAACACCAGACTGAATCCTCTGGCTTCTTCTCATCTCATGGCCTCCGGCCGTTGCACTAGACTAGCAACTTGCGAAGTCGATCCTGGACTCATGTCCATGTCCGTCCGGAGTACATAAGGTACCTTAGGTACGGAGTAGGTACATATACAGCCCAGGGTAATTGCGCTAGTATTTGCACCGATACATGTCGCGCCCAATTTTAATTTTTTTGTTTTTTTTTTGGAAAAAAAAAAAAAAAAAAAAAAAAAAACCTCGTGTGCATTTTCCCCTCTCTGATACCCCTAGGGCCCTAGCAGACAGCTGAGATGGACGGACTATCGAGTCATCGGAGCATCTCGCGCATGCACAATGCGACTCATGTTCACCTTCGCCTTGGTCCTTCGTACAGCGCTGGGCTCGTATGAATTGATCTGAATTTTCAACGCCGGTCGGCAACACCGCGATGCAGCCGCAACGCCTCGACAGGTTTCCTAGCAAAACTTCCAACCAGCTGATTTTCTAGAACCCTTCCCGCCTTGGCTGCCCTGGGCGTATGACTAGGTTTTGCCAGGTTTTTCACAGGGCTCCGGGACCAGGGTGTTTTCAATCTTCGTCCAATCTCCACTCTGGACGGCCATGCCGACGCACACGCGGAGATCGGCCGACAATGGAGCGCCAGGCCCAAGAACCGAGAGCCACTTGATTCGATCGGGAAGCCTTCCCCCCTTTTTATAGCCTTCCGGTGCGAGATGCGCCGAACGTACAATGCATGTATAAACCGTAGTCATACGTTGCATGCCGGTTGAGCTACGATAACTGGGACAAGACCAAGACTCCCAGAACAAGCTGTACTGATAGAATCAACACAACACCTCCTCTCCGCATCGGCTGATTCCCAAGTAATACATCAACACATCCCCTCCCTGTTAAACTTCAACATAGCCATGCTCGGATCGGATGGGACCCATTTAAAATGCTGCGGCTTGCGTCGGACGCGTCGAAATCGGAACAAACACCAAAAAGTATTGACTGTTTATTGAGTAGCACGCGGCGTCCTCTCCTCGGCAATGAGAGAAATTTTCTGCGCCATTCCAATCGCCATAAGCAGACAAGTCAATCATGCCACCAGAGCTGCTCTGCATTCGATTGTATTTCATTTCCTGTCTTTGATCGCCCAGTCACGAAAAAGCAACAGGTGGAAACATCAAACTTCAATTTTGGTTGCTTTTATTCATTTAGGCAACTGAAAGCCACCTAGCCACTTCGGGTATCTAATTATGCAAAACTCCTCCCGAACACCGTGCCATACATGCGGTTGCACAAAAAAAAGTAGCGAAGGACACAGAATAGAAAGGCCTCATAATAAATGTTGAGAACAAGAGGAGGCAGACAGAACATAATGATGTAAGGGAGGAAAGACATTAGTAAACACGAAGGTCGAACTCTCCCGTGAAACCCCCGTTCAAAAGCATACTGGCCAGTCTGAGACGTTGCTGTGGCATGTCTTCTGTAGTATAGGTGTCAATTGGATTCAGGCCCAATGCAACGCACATCCCATTGGTGATGGTGTGTACACCGCAGTCGTACCCATTGGTTTGTACTGGTGCTTCGTGTTGTGTCACCTTCCACTCATCTTCCACAAAGGTCTCCGCCAGAATGTATTTGAGCCACCCTAAACCCAAACTAATGTATGTTTGTGAACCTCGTGGGTTCAAGGAATCCATATGTGCTATCGTCTTTTTGCTTGGCCGAATGACGAGGAGCGTCCAGTGTGAGCTCTCGCAAATGGGGAGAAGCAGGGTATCCACATGGAGGAAGTTCTTCTTTTCCACTCCATGGCGTCGGAGAGTTCTTTCGGATTTGGTGAATCCGTTCTCCCGCAAAAATTTAAAGAAGAAGGAGGACATCGCAAGACACTTGCGGGTGCTCTTCTTGACATCCTTAATGCCAGCAGCCGAATTAATGGATTGGTCCAGCCAATTGAGACAGCCATTGACGATTTCATCGTTAAGCCACTCTGTAGCTTTCACGACTTTGGCGAAGTCGTGTCGTCTGAGATCAATGCCGTCTCCTGTTTTTGCCAGCGTAGTTCGAGGTGATTTGCGGAGAGTTTCTTGAGCCCGCTCTTGCCAGTGGTCACTGAGTGGTGATACGAGAGGCTGCTCTGGAGCTCGAAGACCCCCTGTTCTGGCGAGCTTTTCTTCAAGTTCTTGACGGGCGCGCTCCTCGGCATACTTCCTGGCGTCTTCTGCTGCTTGCTGGGCGACCTGTTCTTTCTTAATGGCAATGCCAGCCCTGGTGTCGTCGCTGATGGCTAGTGACTCGATGGACGAAACTGACAGCATTCTCTCGATCGCTAGCGAGGGATCAATAGCGTCATTGGCGGGCGGCTTATGCTTCGATATTTTAGCCCCATGAAAAATTGAATTGACATGTCGATTTGTTTGTTGAGCCCGGAGATATTCCCATTCATCTACATCCAATTTATCATCGGCAGGCCCCGACTGTCCAAGCTTAATATTACCAATGAAAACTGGATCAGTAGCGCGATCAGAGCTGGGAAGCAGTCTGCGGATGTCCAGTCCCAGATGCGTTCGTTGCCGAGGAGTGATAGTGCCTTCGGTAAAACGCACGGCCTTTGGGGCGCGTGTCATGGTGAGCCGCTTCGGTGCTTTGCGGTCCTTCAAAATAGATCTTACAACTCCGACATGGGCTGTTGTGAGTGGCTTCTTTCCGATGAAATCTGTGCTGTAGTCGTTTTCTATGTTGCGGTGATCGTCGCTTGGTCCGCAGTACTTCGTCTGGAATTCCTCCGGTGTGAGACGAGATATCTCGGCCGCAAAAAATTTAGCTCTCAAGCGGTCAGTCTTGGTTGAACCCCTTTTGGAGATGCGAGGAGGTGGTTCAACGCTTAGCGAAGGCAAAGGGGGAACTTCAGGCTCGACTAAGCCGACATCGTGAAACTCTGAGTCAGCCTCGGGGAAGGCTCCGGGGAGGACTGGGCAGGCGTAGTCTGGGTCCACTCGTTGAGGAGGCGGGAAATACTCTAGAAGTCGTTCGTGAAATTGTTCAGACTGCACATAACTTGGCAGGACGATGTTGTGCTGAACTGCTGCCATGTCGAGGACCACTCGATCAATCATGTCGGCTGGCATAGGATAATTCACCAATTCGTCGCTCAGTTCAAGAATGGATTTCAACACAACAAAAAGGCTTGGGTCGGATAGAAACCTCCTGATTCGTGCCGCTGTCTCCAGCGTTTCTGATGAGGGAGAGTTTGGCCAAACCGTTGGTGCTCTATGGTGCTTATTCTTCATCTTGATGAAACTGCCAATTTCATAGACAGTGTTCAAATAAGTCATCATCGACCGCCATGAGTAGAACCAGAATCTGCAGAGATCCACGCCATCGCATCCTGAGCTGAGCGCGTTGAGATCATCAGCGTTATCCGCCAAGACCGGTAAGAGTGGTTTGAGGAGTTTGTTCATCTCTGCACGCGACGGATGAGCAAGGAGGATAGAGCTGGCTTTGTCAAAGCAATGACGGAAGTGGCTGTAGCGGGAAAGCAGTGAGTGAAGGCCATCTCGATCCAACCACTGGAAGTCAGATTTCTCAGAAGTGAGCTTGACGCGCTTCTTGGCGACATCGAGACCGGATGGATCTTTGATCTGAATATAGGAACGAGACTCGGACACTTCGTAGGCTTGATTATACACTGGTTCAGATGTCAGCGTCATGTATCAAGCCAAAGCAGGCAACGAAAACGAGGTACGTACAAAGTCGGCTGAATATACCGGTCAGATCTGAGAAGGTGGACAAGATGTTGGTCATCATCCCGGTGATGAGTTCTGGAAGAGGTTTTGCGTGGGACATGTGCGCCTGGAGCGGGAGAGAGTAAGTGTAAGTTTATGTCGAACCTGTGTTTGGAATACACTTACCTGGATTTCTTCCTGGAACTTGGACTCGGACTCCGGGAAAAACCCTGTGCGAGAGATAGAAATAGATGATGGAGGATTGGTATGAGTCGAGTTTTGAATGGCAGCAACCAGATCAACCTCGAGGTCTTCAGCGCGACGTTTGTTTGTACGAATTCCATTGATTTCAACAAATACTGTATTCGGGTGCTCGGGGGGGCGAAGAGCTCGTGGTGCAGGACTTGGCTCTTGGGGTGCCCGCTGTCTATGCAGAGAAGACAACGCAAAACAAATATCTTTTTGTCTAGGATCGGATGGTTCAAGTCGAGGATAGATAGTATCGGCCAGGAATCTTTGTCTGGGAAAGGATCGTGGGTTTCGGTACGAGTGTGGAGGATTAGCGTTGGCCTTTGGGCTTCGTTCGGTCCGAATGCGTTCAACCGGGGGGTAATGTCTCTTTAGCTTGGGGAATCGAGGCAACCAAGGACGTCTAATATTACGCGGGCGGTCAGCACGAATAAATTTTCGTTCAAAAAGCAAGCAAACAGGGAGTATCTTTTTTTCGTGATCAACAAACGAAGCATCAGAATTAGCAAAAGAGCTCGAAGGGGTATCGGCAGCGGTCTCGGAAGCTTCTGCATCGTCCACGGTGCTTTCCGAATAAACGAGTGGCAAGAGATTCGCGGGGGCGCCCGAAGAACCGTCTGGGGAGCCGTTGATGAACCAAGAAACGGGCGGGAATATCAGGGAAGGAAGTGACGAGAGGGAGGAGAGCCAGCCTTGCTGGGACCCGGACATTTTGTCTTGGTGACAGCGTCAAGCTTGGATGACGAGATATGAAATTCGATGCTTTGAACCTGCCTAAGAAAGCCGGGGCAGTCGTGATGGCGAGAGGACGATCAAGCGAAGACGGTTCGAAGCAATACGATAGTTGTAGTAGTAGCGGTCGCAAGCGACGATAGCAATCGAAAAAGTAAAGCGCGGGTGAGCTATAAAGCAAAAGTAAAAGAAGTAGTTCCTACCGAAGCAGTGATGAAAATTCGCAAGAGAAGATGAAAATGGAGAGATCAAAAGCTCGAGTGGAAGTCGCGTTAGGAGCTTGCTATACGACGTGGACGAGCTGTTGCGTCGCGAGCGCGTTGTTATTGAGTGGCGCGTGGACGAAAGTTAAAATGAGGCCGTAACCGAGCTGCAGGCGAGAGAGTTCAAGAAAAGGGCAAGTCTAAGCGAGGCGCTGGCGTTGGGGCGCGCAGCTTCGCTGGGAGGGCCAGTGACCAACTTGAAGCTGTCCAAAATGCCTTGTTGGATAGAGGATTTGCTGGGCTTAGTGGGTGTGGTTTGTCCCTGGAAGAACCTCGGGGCGATGGGTTAAGGACTAAGCTGGACCAGACTGCATGCAGACTTCATGTCCACATTAATGGAAGTTAACCAACCAGTGACAGTGGAAAAGCCAGGCCCTACATAGCGCCTCTGCCCCTCCCAGGTCTGGTGCTGCCCGCGCTGCCCCTCGCACCCTCAGACTCTCTGAACTGTCAATTATTCTGATTGGCAGAAACTGATCCTGAGAAGTCTGCACATGGTAGTTAGCACATCCCGGGGACCAGGTAACTCGAGGTCTGAGATCGATCGTGATGGCAGACACAAATTCCGATTGTGTCCGATGCAACTTGACCGCCAAACCTGTATTATGTATATGAGCAGCAGCTTCGGTCTTCATGTTGGCCTGGCCCATCGGATCCAGTTATGTCTCAGATACTCGAATACGTACTAAGAAGGTATAGAGTAACTTACATGATAAATACTCCGAGTTGAAACCATATTTCACATCTTTGATATCCTCCGTTCGCTTCGGCGTTAAAATTCAGAGCCACTACTATTTGAATACTTTTGAGATAACGACGGGAGGATATGGTCAAACACGATGTTGATCGTAGCGGCATCAATGTATCTATTCTCGCGTGCGAGTCTTCTTTGCGCGGCTCTTTCATCTGAAACCAAAGAGCCGCTGTACCGCAGCAATAAGATTCATGTTCTAATTATCAAGTCTTCAGCTACGCTTAGGGCCGTCCTCCGTCAAATGCTCGTCGTCACCCATGCACCCCTCGCCTTCAACATAGTGAACACCATGATATCGACGTTTGCCACATGAACGATCAATTATCCTACAGTTGGGAAGAACCTGCTACTAGGTTCTTGCTGCAGAATGCCGAGAAGTACTCGTTCAACGCGTTCACCGTTCCACTTCCCTCCACGAGACTCACAATCACGCCAACATAACCATCAGGGCGAACCACCACCACAGCACCTCTTTCTTCGTCCAAGCCCATCTTGGCATGGGCCGAGGCTCTGGAATTGGGCACCCTCCGATCCCATATATCATCGGCGTAAATATGATCCCGATATCGTGCTAGAAGCCGGGGTACATCCTTGGATATTTCAATGCTCGATCGCTTGGCGGCAAATATTGTGCAAATGGTGAAGAACAAGCTGTGTGGGTTGTGTCGCTCATGGTGTGATACCGTGTCGACATCTTTTCTGGCATATGCGCCGTAGAAAGAGCGTTCCGCACCGAGACCATTGGCGAGGTCTTGCAAGGCAGTGTGAGTAACGGCTGGATTTCCGGCAAAGATGAAAATACGGAATGAGCCATTGAGCGGTATCTCCTGCTCCAAATGTACTACATTTGCATCCACCACTCGTGTAACGTCGGAATTGATGAATATATGACCCGTTCGGAGCTTGGTGCCTTCAGGGTGAATAAGAGTCGAGTTGGCCTGATGGTTCACTGACCAATTTACCTCATTCGGCCCATAAGCCACGCCATATCCGCTGGTAAACTCACACGATTCCTTAAACATCTTAACAAAGTCGTCTTCTTCTGCCTCGCCGCGGTTTGCGGGGCATCCCTCAGTGGCTGCCTCTACTTCCTTGGCCGCAGGAGGCCGCTGAGAAAACAACTTTGCATATCTATTATCAAAGTCCAACAGACTTTCCGCGACCCCTTTGCGCTCTATCTCGTAAGTTTTGAGCAGATCGCGGTGTGCAAAGCCTCCTTCGACCGCGTGTATCTTCCAGGCCAGGTTGAGAGCATCCAGAAAGGCGGTGTTCATGCCTTGACCTGCCTTGGGCTGTACGAGTGTTGCCAATGGACTTCGTTAGCGCTTAGCCTTTCTCAGGGCAACATTAGGTATGCCGGTTCCGTATAGGGGAGAGATAGATTGGGCTTACACTATGCGTGTGGCATGCATCACCACCCAGAAATACGCGCTGGTCTAGGCTGTACCTGTCCGAGATTCCTTGCCCAATGGGGTACACTGAATACCATTCGACGCGCTCCCAATCGATCGTATACGGATGCAGGATCTTCTTCGCCGTCTCTTGCACCTCTTCTGACGTAGCTGTCTTTCTTGGATTCCAATCCGGTTCCTCTGAAGACGCGATTTGGATATAGAGTCGAACCATGTTGTCTTCTCTGGGGATGACCATGATGGAACCGTGGTGGCTGTGTATCGTGCATTTCATCTGCCATGACCAGACTAGATTAGCCACACACTAATCACATGTCCACTGAAGAAAATCTCGGTCACGTACCTTTATATCAGGAAAATCTGTCTTGACAACGCCATCCATAACTCCCCATACATGCTGTATAGGATCGATGTGCTTGACTTGGATGTTTAGCAGCCGACGTACGAAGGATCTCGATCCCTCGCCACCAAATAGATATTTAGCCCGGACTGTTTCTGTGGTGGTCCCATCTACATGTTTCAACTCAACACGCACGGGGTGCTCAGGGTTTTCTTGCTCGTCGGACTCGAAGTGGGTAATGGTCCATGGCCGCTGTATCAGCACACCGTTCTTCTCGAGATCATTGATGAAAACATTTTCGATATGTCCTTGGTGTAGCAATGTGGTGAAAGGATAGCGGGCATCAATAAATTTTGGACAACTCGCCCATGTTCCGGTTCGAACAATGTCGTTACCGGACTTGTCTGGGTTCCAAAAGGCAACTTCGTAAACTCGAGCCGGCTTGTGAGCCATGAGCCCCGTCTTCAGTCCCATGTTTCGAAGCAGGTCCAACGACCGAGGCTGGATGCCATCGGCTCGTCCAGTTTTTGTCGGCTCTGGGCGGTCGTCGACATGCTTTACTCGATAGCCCCATCTAGCCAAGCAGGTAGAGAGCATTAGCCCGACTGGGCCAGCTCCCACGATGACTACAATCGTTGGAGTTAGCGTCAGGCATCTTCGCAGACCACGAGACATTTTACGAAAATAGAGAGTGGTCTGGAGCCAAGTCAGAAATCATACCAATGTCATATAATTGAAAAGGTTTTCCCTCGACAGCGGGTTCAGTCATAGTGCCTAGCAGTGAGCTGGAGGGAAAAGCACTTGTACAGGAAGTGATCGGTATTAAAGAAAGGAAGAGAGGGAGGGGCAAGAAATGGTAGTCTAAAGGATAACAGCAACCAGGGTGAGTCAATACAGTCGAAAATTGGGAAATAGACGAATGCCAGGAATGCGAAAGTTGCGTTGTGTCGGGGTGTGATGTCGTAGTAATTGACTCTGTACGCCCGCCTTCAGAAGGAGAGTTTTGGAGACTGTCAGTGACAACTGAAATACTTTGCTATGGTAGAGAGAATGCAGCAGGGGTTTCTAGAGTTGAGTCTGGTAGGTTGAGTAGACCGGAATTGACAGACCGAGGCGTACGAGGTGCAGAGCTGTATTTATGAATGGAGAAGGCGCGGTTCAATGGTGCAGTGGATGTGGGAGTACACGATTTTGGTCAAGAGTGCAGAATACTCCGAACTTCCGATCACATACATGTAATACCAGTTTGCTGGCAAATGCGCAAGCTCCCGACTCCCAACTCCGAAGCTCGGACAGATATTTGACCACGGTAGCAGTGGCACACTGCCCGAGCAAGTTGCAAGGCCGGCGGCACTTTGCTTGAGGAAGTGCCCTAAAGTACTTACTTAGGTACTCAGTAAGTAGATAAAGTAGGGAGGTGCCTAGCTGGTGCCTGGATGCCTACATGTGCTTACATGTACCTGCTCCATGATCCGTACAGATAAAACGGTTGCCGCGCCACTCCCCCGAGAGCACGGATCGGATGGGTTCAGACACGGCACCCAGGGCGGGAATGGCACTTGAACACGGGAGGGATTCAACCAGACACGTTAGACTTTTCAATGTTGAGAAATGGCGGCTTCAGGATGCTGTCATGGACTAGTTCCAGTTGGGCCTGGTGGCAGCAGACAAGAGGAAGCCAGGGCTCCGGTCAACCAATAGAACAGCAGCGGGGGCGGATGCTGTAAATGAACGTGGAGAATGGGTCAACGGTTGGTTGCTAATAGTAGTACATACTTCGTATGTACGTATCACATGTAGCAGGTAGGGCAAGACGCGGGAATAGGAAACGGGAGTCAAAATGGCTTCAGTGACTTCTTGAACTTATAGAGTATTGGCAGCACCAAACAAGCGGCTGCAACGGTAAACTAGAGCTTACAGCCAATAAAAGCAGAACGACACATTCAATACTTCCCCCCCTAGACCTCGCTCAATGCAAGAAGACTGTGCAGCATCCGTCCACCGTTATATGCGCGATCCTCCAGCCCTCGCTATCGAGTTTGTGAGTCTTGGTGGAATCTCAGCATGATGAGTAGTGCACGTGGAGCCTTCACTTTACAATGATGCGTTTCCGGGGTTGTTCTCCTGCTCATCACCGTCTTGTCATATCCCAACTGCAGATTGAATGCAAAAGTACTTTTCTTCGTATTGGCGACTACATACTTAAGTACATACACGTTCCCTCCATCATCTGTGGGGAAGCCAGGGATAAATGGCGGGGAGCGCATGAAATTTAATATTACTAATAGGATGACCAAATAATAAAGAAGCAGTACTATTAGGCGCCTTGACGGTGTGGTCTCGGGATCTGACATCGGCATGTTGAGGCAGTGGAGGGGTAGAGGAGTGGAGCCGGTGGCCGAAATGACCGACACGGGTCCGTCATGCTGCATTGCTGACGATCTGGACAGTTGATCTCGTCCGCACAGGCCAACTGCATAACTTGTACATGTTGACTGGTGTTTTTGAGCAACCCAACATCATCACGAGCACGAAGCCTAGACCACCATATATTAAAGCTACCTAGGTACTTAATTACCTAGGTACTTACGTACTCAAGTACTCTGTACTTGTGTTGAAAGTGGTAGCCAACGTATAAGTACGCCAGACTTTGGTCAGCTACCTAAGTATCTAGGTACCTAGGTACTTAACACTTTCAACACAACTTGCTGTCTCTCATTGCGGCCGCCGAAAGGATTCCAACCTGATGGTAGGGGCGTTCATAAGGTACACAGCACTCGAGGACACGAGGCAAGGTGTCAGTCAGCGGCATCTCCTGTATCCTGTGCACTTGAGTACCCGGTAGGTACCTTAGGTAAAGCACTTAGAGGTATGTAGTATCAGGACTGGACTGATACCGGAAATTCATCTTGAATCGGCTGCACACGGGGTTGACTTCTAGTCGCCTCCATCAGTGCTCGGTTTGCAAGAAGTTGGCAACCAGACCTAACGTGGGTGTATCTATCCTCTTCTTTATTGCTCCCAGCTGGCAGAGCCGCTGCGGCCAGCTGGCAGACTAATTAATAGCTGGTGCACTGTGCTTCCTATTTTATAGCAAAACAAACAACAATAATATGCACCGGCTCGTGCCAGTTCTGCGCCGCCTGTTGAAATTCACTTGCGAACCTTACCGGAGCACTGCATTGCTCGTGTCCTGGGACTTGTTTACCTTCCAAGCCCGCGTACTGCAGTCAGATCGCGACATTACATGAACATAGTCTGATATTCATCTTGATCTGCCGCATGTACTGCATGCGCTGAGCAGACACACCTAAATGGCTCCCCAGGAGCTGGAACCAAATCTAGGCACTGCTGACCGCAGTGGCCAGCCGCCATCAACGTCACCCACGACGCCGAATCGAGTACATGTAGTAACAAAGTCTCATAGCAGTTCGCCTGGGAAGCGCCGTGCCCGACAGCCGTTGACCATACGCGTTAACTTAACCGAACGACAGATGAACAAAGTCACCCAGGCGTAGGTGAACTCTTCGGACCAATTATGACCCCATGCAAAACATATTTACTGACCAACTCTTAACCAAGTATTACCCATACAGTCGATAAAAGCCCTACCAGAACGCAGAAGCCAGCGGTGCCAACGATGCCAACGCCCCTGACCCCGAAGAGGGAAATTTGCGATAGGAATGAAGCGCAACTGGCAGATGAACGGAAAGGTGGCGAGAACCATGCTGATGAAGGCTTTCCCACTATCCTTGAAATGGCGCCGAAGAATCCGGATAGGGTACTTCGCGTTGGAAGCTTGGCTCAGCGTCGGAACCAAACGCCTCCGCCTCCAATAAATACAATCACGGAGGTGCAACAGTCCCATATCCATCACTCCAGACAAGAGTCGATTTCTGGCTTAGAGATCTTGCCCGAAAAACAGCCCTCAGAAAAGAAGAAACCTGAAGAGGGCGATCGGCCCGGACCTGGAAGCAGTGGTTACATGTGTTCTGGGAAGACCGAGCATACAATGTATACAACTGACTATGAGAGTCCGGGGCAACAAGTAAACAGGGCTATTCTCGACATGTACAATTCGTGGTCAAATATTCGAGCCCCGAACGCTCGTCCAGAGTACCCAAAGAGACATCAGAGTCTTATGAAAGGACAAAAAAGATCTCAAAGTACACCCGACCCCATAGATTCGTGTAGCGCCCCATCACCAGCGTCAGATGAGGCCTTTTCCGGGGTGACTCGGCATGAGGTTCCACAACATCTGACCGGAGTGATTGAACCGAGTCCACAGTTCTCACCATTACCTCTTTACTTCCGGGGACAAAACTTCCCTTCAACAAGGAAAGGTGAGAAGACCATGATTGGCCAAAATGGGTGGCTAGAGTGCACAGGCAAAGCCGACAACGATGAGAAGAAGCCGCAAGTAAAGAAACTTGGTTTTTTCCTAAACAGCATCAAGAAAATCGCAAAGGACGTGGTGCGTATAGTGATAAAATACATGAATTAGGTCAGAGACCAACTGATAGGGAATTAGACAGCGGAGCTGAACACGTCGAATAGACGATCAAATCTCTCATCGCCAGATTTGACGAACTCATCCCCTGTTACTATATCCTTGGATGCTCGAGAGCAAAGTTTACTCTACTGTGAATTGGAGTTTCACTTAACTTCTGCCATGAACGGTTATATCACCGCTGAATTCGAAAAGGGGCATTTGCTACCTGACAATCTCAAAAAGACATCAGACGCCTGGATCCAACAAGGCCGGCCAAGAGTAATCAGCTTTCGTTACGACCTGGAAACCCAGCTAGAGTTGGTAGCCTTACACCTGAAGGAATTCAACTTTTACGGACGACGACAAAATAACCCGGCAGAGATAATAGGCCTTCTTCACTCCATGAAGGTGAATGCTCGTGCTATGCGTGTTCGCACCTTCTGCCAACCAGACTCCGTTATTGCGAAGCAGTTAATCGACTCTCAATCTCTGTTTAACATGCTGAACGTTTCTAACGCTCAACAGCTAGCCCTGGCCGAAATAGGTCGGTTTTTCAGAATGATTGTCGAGAGGGAGTGTGCAAAGCATGAGCCTGTAGGGAGACACACTAGGTCAACCATTCCTGGGAGTACTGGTTGGCAGAACAGCCATCATGCAGATTTGCGACGATGAAGTCGAGCGCAAAAGTGGGTTACGTCTTGCCATAGTACACAGAAAGGGTCTCCTTGCTTTGGCGGGTTCTCACTAACTCACTAGGTAGTGCAAGATTTTCAGAAAGAGAAATGACTACCACAGCTTGGTGGCTGATTGGCTTGCGTGGTCTATTCCTTTCTCTCTCTCTTCCTCCTCTTCTTCTTTTTGTTTTTTGTTGCACGAACTTGTTGATACGTCGATGGCATCTTTGTATAGGGTTTCAGGAATAAAGCACAGATTTTTGTCGAGGACAGAGGTTACAGGCAACCCAACCTTGCCGGGACAAGCAACGTCACTAAATAACCGCGCGAGGGCGTGTGTTCAGATAATTATATGCAGAATCTCAATTTTTGTCTCATTCTTCATCAACTAAATAAAGTAAGATTGGCTCTCAAAGGGCACAATATTGCTTCCAGAGGATGTCTAATAATAGCATGGTATGCATTCATTTGATCGAAATGCAGCTTCTCTAAGCCTGGCGGTAGCTTGAAACAAGTGCCACGAGAACAAGCAACAGCTGTTTATAAGAATTAGATCCAAGATATTGAAGAAAGCTCGCATTTGAAATGCTAATCTTTGAGGACGTGTGCTTTACATTGTAGGTATGGTGAACAAGTTGACGATGACTAGTCTCGGTAGTGATAGAGCTGTGATTCTTCAATGCGACGTCGTCTTGAGTGGTGGTCATCTTGTTGCCGCTCTCTGCGGTATACATGGTGGTAGTCATGAGCGTCAGAAAGATATCCCTTGCCATTTGCGTGATTCCAATCTTGTAGTCTTCCTGTATCGTAGTGGGTCGTGTCATCTTCTCGGTCATACCGGTTTCCCCACGTTAATTGCTGACTCCTGTTCCTTTCTCTGGCATCTTCCCATCTATGGGTCACGGCATTTGCGCCCAGCGCACCGGCTACAGCACCAAGCACAGTAGACGCCATACGGGGTATGGTCTCAGAGCTGTGGCGACGTGGGCGACCAGTTTGCTTTTGCTTGTGGCGAAATGCTGCTTCAGAAGCCTGTTTGGCGACAAGTCCTCCGATGACAGCTCCAACAATACCAGCTCCGATTCCTGCCCTCGTTTGAGAGAAATTGCTTTGGATTATACCGCGAGTTTGATTCATCGAACCAGGGCTGTGTTCATTGTCGCGAGACACACTGCAATAGGAGCGAGAGGAGGATCTAGAAGACGAAATCGATGGAGACCGGGGATAGCGGACGACGGCAGAAGTCGGTGGCGGCACTGAATGAGAACGAGACCCGTCGTCCATGGGCATTCCAAGTGCGGCGGCGGTCTCCCGATAGTAAGACTCATTCAGGCCCTGGGGCATATTCTCCTGGTCAGGTACCTTGGACATGGCACTTCTGCCAGACTGGCGTTCCGAGGTGTAGTAGTCATGATGACGGTCTGACAAGCGGCTTGAGTCGAGCCGGTTTACTTGACGGCTAGACATGTCGATGGCAATAAGACTGTCTGAAGAAGAAGAGGCGGAGGCTGCGGCAAGAGCAGCAGCCTTGGAAGAATTTAAAGAGCAGTAAGTAGCAATAGAGCCCCAGAATTGATTCAAGTCAGAAGCTGTTTTCCGGCGCAGAAGCTGCTCAGCGACTGCGACTGCTGTCGGTCTCTACGGAGGCTGCGGCATGATGTGCGGTAAGCTCAGCCCGATTAATTAATACATGTCAAGTATCAACATTGAAGGGCGAAGAGGCCGAGCTAGTGGAAGGAAGGGGCGGGCAGCTGACATGCACGTACCAGACCCAGGCCATGGACAGTCTTGGGACCAAGACAGGCGGCGTCGTTCTCAATCGCTCCATCGAATGTAACAGGGACCAGTCCTGACATAGGAAGACAACCTTACTCTAGGTGCTCACTAAGGGTGGTCACCAGTCAAAAGGGTGCAGAAAGGAGGCGAGCGGCACCACATGGCGACCCGGAGTTCCCTAATCGTGTGGAGTATGGGCATGGAACACAGGAAGAGAAGAACTGTGCGCTCGCGAAATGAGAACGACATGGCGGAGTTTATGCTTGTCCTAGTACGATGCACAGTAAATGCGGCCATTGTTGCAGCCCGTGGTATGCGGAAATGCCCACAGATTTCGCTGTGTGGTAGTACGTGATGGCCTCATGGTGGTGAGTGACATGGCTGAGAGACAAATGTCACTTTTCGGAGGAGCCGCCAGAACAAGTTGAAAACTGATGGCGGCTGATGTGTCCTCCGTCACAGATGAAAGGTTATAGGCAGTCACGTGGGATCTAGGCACATGGCGGATCAAGTTGTCCCAGTGAAGTCAATCAACGATGATGAAGACACACATCTCTGGGCGGTTAAGATCTGGGCCACCAGGACTTGAGGTCTTGTTTTCCATGTCCCGTTATCGGGGATGGGTACATACAGTGTGTAGTTACAAAGCACCTGCCCAAGAAACTACATGTACTAAGTAAAGTCTGGTAGGAAGAAAGAGGGGGTCCCTCATCGCTCTCAATTCGACATGGAGCCTCGTATCAACATGCAGCATATGTGGAGGCGCCCAAGTTCCGACTTGCTTTGCGACATGGGTTCCTATGCCTAAGTATGTAAAGTATGTATGTACGTGGGATGCGTCCGGTAACCACGCCGACCGTATTCCATCATCCCGATTCGTTCTGTCTGGCCGGACATTCACTCGCATTTCATAGTCATCTAGAAACCACACTATCGGATCGCCAAATGCGAAGATGACATGAATGCTTGGTGAACCAGGACACAATACTGCCCTCTACTATCGGCACATCTGTCTTTTCTTCGCCCACTTTCTTTATATTTATTTAACAGACCATCCAAGCTTTGCCCTCTTTCCGTGTCTCTGTGTAGCCGTTACCTCTCGACATGGCGAGCCCTCAACTCTCTGCGCCTGTGCCCAGATGGACGGGTTTCCAGGACAGTAACGAAGATCAACTATCCCACGACAACAAGTCGGCCGCTGCCAGTCTCTTGCGAAACACAGAAGATGGTGCTGAAGTAGCTGGCGATGATCTCCAAGATGACGCAGACGGCTACGAAGTCGATAACAACCCCCGTCGTGAAGCATGGAACAATCCACGAATCAACATGTATCGATATTGCGCGGTCAATTTGTCATTTTTCGTTATGGGCATGCATGACGGCTGCATCGGCGTATGTATCAAAACTGATTGCACGGCTCATTCTATTCCATCTTGACTTGAAGAGTTATACGATATGCTGATACGCACGACTTCTTTTCTCGTAACACCAGGCTCTTCTCCCATATGTGAGTTGGCCTTGTGTGTAGATGGTCGCGTCTACCTACCATGTGACATAAATAAACGAAGCTGACCCTCACTAGATCGAAGAATACTATGGTATAAACCATACCACTGTCTCAACAATATTCATAGTGCCGTTTCTTGGATATGTTACCGCAGCACTGTCGAATAACTGGATTCACTATCAGGTTGGCCAGCGAGGCATCGCGTTCCTAGGCCCGCTCTTCCGCCTCATTGGATATGTTCCAATAGTCTTTCGTCCGCCATTTCCTCTTCTACCCATACTCTTCATGTTCACTGGATTTGGAAGTGGTATTGAAGACAGCGCTTACAATGCGTGGGTCGGCAACATGCACCAAACCAACGAGCTGCTGGGCATCATTCATGGGGCGTTTGGTCTCGGCGCAACTGTGGCACCTATTATTTCGTCGACTATGGTGGCCAAGCTGAAGATGCCCTGGTACTCCTTCTACTACATTTTCATCTTGGTTGTGTGTGTTGAGCTTTCCTTTGGACTGTGGGCTTTTTGGGGTGCTACTGGAGCAGCACACCGCGAGAAGCTTCACAAAGGGGGCTCTGGTGGAGGAGCAAGGACGGCCACGGTCCTCCGAGAGCCCGTCACATGGCTAATCGCCATCTTTTTACTCCTGTATGCCGGTGCGGAGGTTAGTCTAGGTGGTTGGATCCCAACTTTCATGATGGAGGAGAGACATGCCGACGGTCTTCTGGCCGGCGTCACTGCCACACTCTTCTGGCTCGGCTTATCACTTGGCCGGATTGTTTTAGGTTTCGTCACGGGTCGGGTTGGAGAGAGGCTCGCCATCACCGCATATTTAGTATTATGCATTGCTTTTCAACTTATGTATTGGTTAGTTCCCACCACAGTCGGTGCAATGTTGTTCGTATCGGCTTTGGGTTTCTTTCTGGGGCCGCTCTTTCCGGCCGCCATCGTCGTTGCAACCCAAATACTACCTGCTGAGTATCACATCAGTGCTATTGGGTTCTCGTCTGCCATTGGAGGCGGTGGCGCTGCTGTCTTGCCATTTGCTGTTGGTGCCATCGCAGAAGGTCATGGCGTTGGAGTGCTGCAGCCTATTATTCTGGCAGTCTTGGTTTTCCTAATTGGAATATGGGTTTGTCTGCCCCGGAAAGCACGAGGGAGGAAGGGTGCCAACCTGGGAGAGTGACAAGGGTGACAAGTCATATTTTGCTGAGAGTTTGAAGAGTTTAAACCAGATCTAGGCGTGGCTAATATGCATGGAGGTGAATCACCAACCAACGCGGACATGCATGGATGGAGTCGAGGTTGGATAGTATATGAGGGGTGCAACGACGCTAGAAAGCTTCGATGTAGATGACGGAACGATTAAATAAATATACTCTATAGAAATCACAATTTTTTTTTAAAAATAAATACTTTCTTTGCGCAATCCTGAATGTCAACGTACGGGATGGTCGAGTTTAGATGTGCCGTGCCGCAATCCCTTCCTACTTTACTCGGTCGTATCTTATCAGCGGGGCAACGTGCAATTTGATGGCCGCAGTGTGTGCGACTTCGGGATTGAACTGCAAAGTACAGAGTACCTATTCCACCGTGGCGAACACCTCAAGCCTTCCATCTTCGCGTTTACAACGTCATCTCCGCCATTCCAGCTGCCCTGGCTCGATCCGACCGCTACAGTCGAATGCTGGGGAAGCCTTCGGGTCCCCTCTGTCATCAATCTATCCACGAGCCCGCAAACGACCCTTGAACCGCTTGAATCGTGTACCCTGAAAATGTCCCCCGCAGCGTCACGTTGCTCGTCAACGACGGCTACCATTACCTTGATCCAACCTTTCCAACCTGATCTCCATGAACGAGCATGGGCATCAATACCGCACCCGACCCTCCCCTTGATTGCGACAGCCCACGCAAAGTCCGTCACCGTGTTTTCTCTGTCCACGCTTTCGTGCCATAGCAACCTAACCGGCGGCCATACCCGATCCGTTCGATCCGTAGCTTGGAAGCCTGGCCTACCGCCTCATAAGCTGTGCCTCGTGTCCGGAAGCTTTGATGCTACCGCGGGACTATGGCGCTGGGACGGCGACTCTACGGCGGCGACCGCTGGGGCACCTCCGGATGAGAATGAGGTAGAAATCACAGCCTCGGGCAGAAAGGTGGGAAGCGCCGACAGCGACGAGACGAGCCATATTGGCGACAAGGACTGGGAGTTCACACTGGTTCTGGAAGGCCACGACTCGGAGATAAAAGGCTGTGCGTTTGCACCGTCCGGCGCATACCTTGCCACCTGTTCGCGCGACAAGTCCGTGTGGATCTGGGAGGACATTGGCGCATCCGAAACAGACGACGAGTGGGAAACCGTTGCCGTGCTTAATGAGCACGAGGGAGATGTCAAAGCCGTGGCTTGGTGTCCAGATGTTCCGGGGAGGAATTCTCGCCGCCAGTACAGCTCCGACGTCCTCGCCAGCGCCAGCTACGACAACACCGTCCGTATATGGCGCGAGGACGGTGATAGCGAATGGGTCTGTGTCGCGGTTCTGGAAGGCCACGAAGGAACCGTCTGGGGTATTGAATGGGAGCCGCGGCCTAAAAACGACCGCTTCCCACGCTTGCTTAGCTACTCTGCCGATGGGACGGTGCGCCTGTGGACGCTCCAGCAAGATCCAGAGGGCCAAGAAGACAACGATGGATTCGGGGCGGGGAGCCGAAGTTCTCTTGGGGGCATTCCCAACACCATGAGGAGGTCTCTGAGAGAGGAATGGACATGTGCTGCTGTTTTGCCCACGGCTCACGATCGAGATGTATACTCTGTCACTTGGAGCAAGGATTCCGGCTTGGTTGCCACCACAGGAAGGGACGGCAAGGTTGCTCTCTACAAAGAAGCTGACACCCCGTCTGTATCTGTGACAGCCTCTGAAGGGCAGCATGACAATACTGCCTGTATTGATGGCTCTGTCATGCCGAGCGTGTCTAATGCGCAGCTTTCAACAATGGCACCATCTCCGACAACGTGGGAATTGCTAACTACAATACCCAATTCCCATGGACCATTCGAAGTAAACCATATAACCTGGTGTCGGCGTTATGATGCTGGCTCTGAGAAACGAGGAGAGGAGGAGATGCTGGTGACTACTGGTGACGATGGTATAGTCCGCTCGTGGCAAGTCAGGGTGGATGATGCGCCGAGGACGGGAGGTCCGGAGCAGGGTATATGAGTAGAGATAGAGCATACTGTCAATTGCACATATCAGCCGGCAAGAGAAGTCGACTGCTATCTTAAGTCCATCAAGCTTCAAGACATGCTCATATTCGTATCTCCATAGGATCAAACAAAACAGATGCCATTTTCTACCGTACCGAAGCCACGCTATGGAAACAATGGTACAGGTACTACTATAATAGTTGCCCTCGGAAGGGTAATTTTTATGGTACAAATACTACACAAGGGGAGCCTACCTTTTCATTTTCAAACCATCTGCACCACAGGCATAACTCCATTTCTAAATCTTCCACGGCGACACTATCGGACTTCTTCACGAAATCGTTCCATTATTCTAATATTTGTTCGTCGCTTACTCGCCCTTCAGCTTGTCCTGCTTCACGGTGAAAGCCATTTCCAAGAAATCCTCTTCTTCTTTCTTGTGCAGATGTTTCGCGCCAGTGGCAACAGACGCACTCGGATTACGGCCAGCGTACATGACATGTTTTCGGTCGTGGTACTGGGTCTGGTTGAGAAGAGTCTCAATGCGGGGTTGGGTGAAGCTCCAAGCACCAGCGTTGAGAGGTTCCTCCTGAGCCCAGACAATGGTTTTGGCGTTAGGGTACATGTCGAGGTTCTCCTTCAGCTGCTGCCAAGGGAATGGGTTTAGCTGCTCGATGCGGGTGAAAGCCACGTTGTCAACCTTGTTGTCGGCTCGGTACTTATGTAGGGCAGCCCAGACCTGACCAGTGCACAGAATGACACGGTCAATCTCTTCAGGGGCCTTGATTGCACCAGTTTGATGCTCAGGATCAGGGATAATCCACTGGAAGCCAGCATCCTCGCCACTGAAATCCTCAATATTTGAGCGAGCGAGCGGGTGGCGGAGCAAAGACTTGGAGAAAAATATGACAAGAGCTGAGCGTATGTTAGTTGATGGTGTTGTTCATAAAATGCACTGAAATGAATGCCCGGGGGTAAACTTACGCTTTCGGAACTGTCGGTGCATCTGTCGGCGCAGAACATGGAACAAGTTGGCTGGGGTTGTCATGTAGGCAATCTGCATGTTGCAGTCTTGGTGCTGTCTCGCAAGCTTCTCCTCAGTCGGGAAAATACGAGGATCCTCGTTGGACAACTGGAGATAACGTTCCAGACGACCAGACGAGTGCTCGGGGCCTTGACCATCATACCCGTGAGGGAGAGACATAACAAGACCAGTTCGCTGCATCCACTTCACTTCTCCAGAGGCAATAAACTGGTCGATGATACACTGAGCATTGTTGGCAAAGTCACCGAACTGGGCTTCCCACATAACCAGGGCATTGGGTGACTGCAGGGAGTAACCGTACTCGAACCCAAGGGCACCAAACTCACTCAGGGAGGAGTTGGAGATGACAAATTTGCCCTGGTCCTTACTAATGTGCTGCAGTGGGGTGTATGTCTTCTCGTTCTCTTGTTCATGGAAGACGGCATGACGCTGAGAGAATGTGCCTCGCTCAACATCTTGGCCAGAAACACGAACGTGGTATCCTTCAGTGACCAAGGTACCAAACGCTAGAGCCTCCGCGGTAGGGAAATCAATATTCTTTCCTTCAACAACAGACTTAGTCCGGTTGGTGAGAATGCGCTTCAGGTTACGATGAATCTGGAAACCTTCAGGGGCAGAGCCAATGACTTCGCCAACGTGGTCTAGAGTCTTACTGTCCACACCAGTAGCGTGGTGAGGGAGGATCTCCGTAGCTAGCTCCTTGGGGGACTTGAAGCCATTCCACGCAGAAGTAGTCCACTCCTTGGAGGTGGGAGTGTAGTCCTTGGACTTGTCAAAGCTCTCTTCAAGCATACCCCAAACCCATTGTTTGTGCTCTTCAATATCTTCCTTTGTGAAAGTGCCTTCTCGTAAAAGCTTGTTGACATAGACGTCAATCTGAGGCTCCTTCTGCTGAATTCTCTTGTACATGAGGGGTTGGGTGAACGACGGCTGATCCGTTTCGTTGTGGCCATGCTTTCGGTAGCAGATTAAGTCAATGACAACATCGTGCTGGAACTCGGCACGCCAGTCAGCAGCCAGCTGGCAAACAAAGTTGACAGCTTCGACGTCATCGGCATTGACGTGGAAGACAGGGGCGTCGATAGCCTTGGCAATGTCAGTGCAGTAGGCTGTAGAGCGGGCGAATCGAGGGTCAGTTGTGAAGCCAATTTGGTTGTTCACAACAAGATGAATCGTGCCCCCAGTTGAGAAGGCAGGTAGGGAGTGGAAACCCAAACATTCGTAAACAATGCCCTGGGCAGCAAAGGCAGCATCACCATGCAGGAGAACCCCCATGGCGGTTCTGTGGGTCTTCTCATCATTATTGTAGTGCTGGATAGCTCGAGTCTTGCCCAGGACAACAGGGTCTTCGGCTTCCAAGTGAGAAGGGTTTGCGACCAGTGAGAGCTGAACGCGTTTACCTGACGGAGTAGGACGCTCAAAGTTCATTCCCAAGTGGTACTTGACATCGCCTGAACCCTCGTCCTCAGCACCTAGTGTACCAGCAAATTCTGAAAAGATCGATTCGTTCGGTTTGCGCACAACGTTGCTGAGAACGTTGAGACGACCACGGTGAGGCATGCCAATGACGATGTCCTTGACACCATAATCCACACTGCGGTCAATCAAAGCCTTCATACCAGGGACAAGGGTCTCGCAGCCCTCCAGCCCAAACCGCTTATCATTAGGATACTTGGTTGCCAGGAAAGACTCGAAGCTGGAACTCCAAATAAGCCGATCAAGGACGCGACGCTTCTCGTCAATGGAGTACTTGAACGGCTGGGGAACTTCGAGACGCTCACGCAGCCAGTCGCACTTCTCGCGATCGGGAATGTGAATGAACTCGACACCCCAGGATCCGGCGTAGATCCTCTCACAAGCGGCCACAATTTCTCGGAGTGTCATCTTATCACGGCCTTCGCGTTTGAATCGAGGCAAAATACCGGGTCCCAGGGTATATTCGGTGTCAAGGTCGGCTTCGGTGAATCCATAGTGTTCGAGGGTCAGCTCTTTGGGCTTGATGTTACCAAAGCCCTCAGCAGTGTTCCTGATACCAAGAGGATCAATGTTGGCCTTGTGATGGCCACGGGCCTGGTAGGCGCGGACGAGCAGCTGCACTTTCAGATGATTTGTAACATCAGAGCCATCATCAAGTGCTAGGTTGCCGGCAAGACGGGGCACGCCCCCAGTCATGTTTGGAACCAAGTTTGGCGGCGGCTGAAAAGCCTGGGAAATGGGCATGTCGCCACTTTCCATGTTCTTGAAATAGACCTGCCAGGACACGTGAACACTCTTGGGATCCTGCTTCCACTGCATGTACATCTCATCAATGTAATTGGCAGCGCCTCCAGACAGAAAGTTGTCACTCGGGTCCGGCGGCGAGTGGAGGGCATCAGTTGCGTAGGACCTCGCGGCCGTCGCAGCCAGCGGACGGCGGACGGCGGCGAGCTTCCATGATGACGTTCGGGCAGAGACTGTCGGGATGGAGCTTCTTGACAGAGCTGCGGAGCATCGAGCACCGCGGAGCACCTGTGAACTAGCTCTACAGAGCGGATTCCTCAACATGGTGAGGGTTGATGACGGGGCGCTTCAGGAGACGAGAGACAACAGATGGGTGACGGGTTAACACTCAATCGAACGATGCATTCCCCAGTTTCTTGATCGCAAGTTGATCAGAAAAGAATGGCAGGGCAGGTTGCCGATGGAAGCAACGGAGCTGGGGAGGAGTCGGTTGGGGGCAAAAAGAGATGAGATAAAGAAGTCGAAGTTGCGCAGCTGGTAGTGCCCGGGAGCCATTTACAAAAAACCTGCTTGCACCGGCGGGCAAACAGCGGCTGGTTTCCGGGGCGGCAACTCGAGTGCTGCAATTTTCGGGCGTGCCGGGCCAGAGGCACCTGGGAGGTCACGGCAGTGGCCCAGGGGGGTCACAGGGCATCCTCCATGCATTGACTCTGCGTGCGTCGCATCCACAGGGGCATGGCCAGCCACTCACAGCACTGCTATTCACCTTGAGTGTTGCAGGTGGCCCATCCAGGCCCTTGCTCTAGAATCCGGCCACCCTGCTGACTGCAAGCTGACAAGGCCCGAGACGGTGCCTGTCGCAAAGGACGTGCACTGTTACCAGGCTGTCTAGGCCCTGAGACCGCTACAGTATGGTACATTGCAGATCACACGGTACGGGTTGGGTAGGGGGAGTTATTACCGGGTCGCGGCGTGATGTCAAGACACTTTACCGACGCCACAGCCCCTCGGTCAAGCCACACGCTTCCGAGCAGCTTCAGTCAGTCACCAGCCTCGCAGCCACGTTAGATACGATACGACATGTCAGCCGTCGGCAACCTCAGACAGCGTTACCTAACTGCCTTCGCAGCTCCTGCCTTCACTCACACTGCGCCTTCATCAAAGAACTTTGTCAGCCCTTTGTCAACACCGCAAAAGAGACCGTGCCCCGTAATCTATCTTCTCATACAGTTTGGGGTGGATTCTTTCTCATCGGCACCTCCTACAGACCTCAGCTCACGCCACGCATGACATCTTTGATAGTCCAGTTCGGCGTGGTGAGCTGAGTGAGGTAGGCAAGGACTTCAGTACGGAAGCTGTGGACAATGCTCAGTAACCACAACGGCGAGAAAAGAACGAACCGCAGTCAAGACGTCACGGCCCCTGCGCGCTGGAATCAGCCATGGCCGCTCCCGCAGGTCGCACCTTGTTTAAAAAGAAGGATGGAATTCTCACATTAACGGATGACTACCAAATTGTCACATGGACTCCAAATAGTGGTGGACCCCCGACAATTTCTTTACCAGTGTCTAACATCACGAGTAAGAAAGCTTCATGTGTAGTCATCTTGTCTTCGTTTATGCTTTCTAACACAGGTGCCTCAGATCTTCAGCAGACTCCAGAAACGGCTGCTAAGGTCATGTTAAAGATTTTTGAAAAGGCAGACAATGGAGCCGACCCTGCAACGTACCTCTTCCACTTTAACACAGCAGAAGCAAAGGCCGAAGCAAAGGCTGTCAAGGATGTTCTATCCAAGATCCTGGCTGATATGAGGAGCCATGATACCGGCGTGCCTCGTCCAAATGTTGCCACGCCGACAGCTGGAGGTGCCTCTACTCCTGCCGCTGCTGGCAGTGGGTCGGCAGCCATGGCATTTGCAAGCGCAGTAAACTCTCAGGCTTCGTCATCAACGAGGTGGTTCGATGACAATCAGCTGAAAAATGACATAGAGCTGCAACAGTCGCTGATGAAGAAAGACAAAAGTCTTCACCAAACATACGTGGAGGCCATAACCACAAAACCAGAGTCGATATCTGGCGCGGCATTCAACTCACAATTTTGGTCTACGCGCACGAACTTACTCAGAGCCCACGCTATTGAAATAAATCAGAAAAAGGGGGCGTATAACGTCCTCTCGACAGTCAAACCACGCACCGTTGACGGAGAGTTGAAACTAAATATCAGTGTCGAGCAAGTTCAGATGATATTTGCACAACATCCGCTGGTCAAACGAATCTATAACGAGAACGTCCCAAAGCTTTCGGAAGCGGATTTTTGGTCCCGGTTTTTTCTTAGCCGTTTGTCGAAAAAGCTCAGAGGGGAGCGGATAACCGACAATGATACTCAAGATCCCCTGTTCGACAAGTACGATGTGACTGAAAATACCGAAGGCGTTCAAAGCAAAATCATGGCCCAAAGTGTTCCCCACATCATTGATATAGAAGGAAACGAGGAAAACCAGGGAGGTTTTAAGGGTGGTAATGCCAAGGATGTCGAGATGAGGCCTAGGGCAAACATACCTATCGTGAAGACTTTGAATAGTCTAAGCGAGAAGATCATGGCCAATGTCGCGCCATCTGATGTGTATGATGACAACGGTAGCAGGGAACGGGATGAGTTCAATGAGCTGGCACTTCGAGACTTGCGTGGGAATACAGCGGAGCATCGCATCATGCTCAACGTGAAGGAGCAAAACAGGTTCTTTCAAAAGCAAGACTCCGCACCATCAGAGAATGCTCGTGTGTTTGCGACACAAAAACCAAAAGAGGTTTTGTCCAAGATTAGGAACACGTTGCGGAAATTTGAAACAGACTCTAGCGACGGAGCCAGTTTACAGGCTGCCATAGCTTTTGAAGACGAAAGCGACAGTGACGAGGAGAGCCAGAAACATATACAAGTCGGATCCAGAGCGGCCATCAAAGTCGCCGAAAAGGAGGTCATGGAAGGTGTTCTTCAACAGCGAGCACAAAAGTATGGCCACAGCACAGACGCAACGTCTCCCATGGGGTTACCTCCTTCGATGACAGAAAAATGCACCCTCACGCACGCGACAAGCATTGAATTTCTTCACCAGTTCTGGACTGCGTTTCTCTCGGGGGACCCAGATCGTGCAGCTGAGCTGCAATATCTGGCTGAATCTCTGAAACGGTCCGCCGCCCGCGTCTCAGCCGTTGCGGAGGAGGCTGAAAAGGAGCGGGAGAGCGTCATTCGCCAGCGTAAACAAGAGATTCGCAACCACTTTGAACGTACGGGGAAGAAAATCAGGTGGAAGTCTGATATGGTTGGTGGTGGGCGAGACGCTGTTATCAAACTGATGCAGCCGGTGCTTGATGCTCTAGACAAGGCACAAGCTGAATACTCAAGAGCTCTAGCGGCTGAGGGAATTCAAATATCGACCGAGGGCTCGTAAGTGGTCTCGTATTGGCAGAATGCGCTGGCATATGACTGGTTGGTGGAGAACTTCAGCGTAGAAATGCTTGTACAATGGATGTAAACGGATAGATGCATCCACTCATTCATGCTTTGGTTGTGGACGTGGTCGTGTTTCAAGAACCGACGACTACGCGGCAAGGTCGGAACAGGGCGATCCCACTCCTGTAATATATGTAAATAGTAAAATTACATTTGCCAATGAGTTCGACATGGCAATTTTGCGGCAGGTCTCTCAAGATCCAACGCTTGAAACGCAAACCTCCACCAGGTAAATACACAGTGTGCTCTGCTGCGATATCCCAACCTTCTATGTGGCTAAACTTGGCACCTGAGAAGTTCAACTCCCGTGCTGGTTGCAAAAACATCCCCAGAATTCATTCCGCAGAGATTGTAGAACGAATTCTTGCCTCACTACCATTAGCATGTCCTTTGTCTTCAAGGACCCCGAATCCCATGGAGGCCTTCTTCTTCTGCCTTCGTCCGTTTCCATACTCCTCATCGAACCTGCGTATCAGCTTCAGCGACGTCATATCTTCGCTAATGCTTGCAGGTATTTGCTTCAAGGCAATTTCAAAATGATCCCTGCGCAAAACACGGCGCTCCGGGTAGTGGTATGGCTCAGGGCCCTCGTGTTTAGCGGCCATCTCATTCTCCTCCTCCACCGCGGCCATGGCAGCTGCAACACAAACGTTTTTAAGATCAGAGCCCGAATAATACGGAGTTTTCCGCGCCAGGTCGTCCAGTGACACAGAACCGTCCAATGACTCGTCTCGTAGGAGAAGACGCAAGATGGCTGCGCGGTCGGCATTCAGCGGCAGGTCCATGAGAATTTTGCGAGGTAACCTCCGCAGGACAGCATCGTCAAGATCAAAAGGTCGATTCGTCGCCACCATGATAAAAGCGTTTGTCTCTTCCATGCCATCCCACTCTTTCAAAAACTGGTTAATATGCTCGCGATGCGAGGCTCTATTGCTAAACATGCTGCGATTTGCAAGTAGAGAATCGGCTTCGTCAATAAAAACGACGCATGGCTCCAACTTTTTAGCCAAAGTGAAAACCGCGCGAATCAATTTCTCACTCTCTCCAACCCATTTATCATTGATCGTAGCGCCGCTAATTTCAAGCATATTGGCACCACTCTCCTTTGCCACAGCTTTGGCAAGCATCGTCTTACCAGTTCCAGGTGGCCCATACAACAAACAACCTGGTATCCTATCCTGAGAAAGCACGCCATAAGCAAAGGCGTCAGGGCGTACAAGGGCTAGTGATGTGAGCAGTTTGAGAGCAGATATAGTATCTTTCGGCGCATGGACATCTTCAAATGTTGTGCGAAGATTCTCCCGATTTATTTGCCCAGAAGAGATGCGCTTTTCGTACTCATTGAGCTTCATTCCAATCCGTCCATCAGACTTAGGCTCTTCGCGACTCTGATGGTTTGTATCAGCTTCGATGTCCATCTCGCTGTCATCTTTGTCAAGGAAACGCTGGCCAGGCTGTTGTCGAAGCGGGCCCATGACACATCGTTCCAGGAATCCGATAGGGCCTGTCCCTGGATTTTGGTCGTCAAGCGCCCTGAAGGCGCAGGCCAGATGATACACTTCAGGAATAGGCAGAATGGAATCTCGCAAAAGGGAAAACTTGGGATTCCCAGAATGGAGGTACGCTATGACGTTGTCGTTTGAAAGTTCTACCACCACTGGCGAGTCATTGGGGCTCAATGCTCTGAGCATGCGATTTATGTTGCAGATATTTTCTGTGAAGTAGTCTGCTTTTTGGAGGCTAAATCGGGCCTGTCCAGAACTAGCCTTTGCCACCGTCCGTCTTTCAACTCGATCTGCCTCAAGGTGTCGTGTAATGACCCAGTCGGTGGCTGCAAATTGGCTGACTGCATTCTGATACTCTTCAGAAGACTTTTCAGATGAGGATGTTCCTACAATAGCAATCTTCATTCCCTGATGCCAAGCAGTGTCGACCAGTGTTCTCAGCCTGCCAAGCAATAGTGATCCTTCCAACGTCATGCTCAACTCAACAATGTCGTGAAGATGAATAAGAATGGGTCGCTGGGGCGTTTGCGAACCGGCCTTCAGCTCCGGGGCACGAATGATATGGTCCAAGATTTTGTCAATTTTAAGATTCTCCCATTTACTGAAACAATCATATTCGCCGTGTCTGATCTTTTGGAGGTCATCGTCAAGGGAGCCTGTGGATGCCCGCAAGCCGATAATGCCGGCCTCTGCATCATGGTCATCTTCTTCACTCAAGCGAGAGTTATCGCCAGGTTCTTTCGCAAGCTTGCCGTTTAATTCAGCAGCACGGAAGCCCATCATGGAAACCGCGCCGCGAGAATACGCCCAGTTTAAACCCAAGTAGTCGCCTACAAGCACTGACAGATCTTGCGCATCCAAGTGAATCAGGTCTGCGTCATTCCAGAATGCCAGATGCTCGCCTACAGCCTGGGATATAGACTTGCCCCCATATCCAGACATTGAGAGAATGGTTATTGGGCGCTTGCTAGATTTTGCGTCGAAGACTGTTGGTGGCAACGCTTGTAGATCGCGCTTGACTGCATGATGTATAGACAAGAGGGTATCTACTGGTAGGTCCGCAACGGCATGAGATAAGGGGTAAGCAAGTTGCTCCGCGTGGCCAAGTCGTTCGTCCAGGGAAAGAGTGAGGGCGAGAAGTTGGTCTCGAGAGTTTTGGGTGCGCTGATCGAGATGCTTGTATATGTCCCACCACCAAAACGGCCGCACTTTGTACGTATACTCGGGTTGCCTCGCCGGATAGATACAATCGACAATGTGCCACGCAGAATCGAGGATCATGTCCCAAATACGAACCACAGACTGAATGGAGGCGGATGTGTTCCAGTGGCGGCCTTTATCGTGAGCTTTGGAGCGCTCAAAGTCCATTGCAAGTTCACAATCTCTCAGCAGTAAGGTGGTGAGAGCAGTATCGAAATACGACTGCAAGGTTTGGTGCTTCTGTCTTGACAAGGACGTATGACCTTGGAAGAGACGCGACGTCTTTTCGCGCGTGGCATCTTCAACAAGCGCCACCGGCAGCCGCGGTAGCCTCTCGACCGAGTAAAGGGATACGTTGTTATTGAGAAAGCTGGATGGCAGCTCGACAGGCGGCAGAGCGGAGGCTGCTCGTCGGCGAGCCAGGCGGTTCTTCAAAGCACCAGGTGTCTGGTTTCTCGCACGACCACCGGTGGTCTCGGTGGCAGGTTGCAGCTCGGGTTCATTGTCGTGTTCTGTGATGGAGTCATCGGACGGCTTGCCCCCGGGCACAGAGCCATTCCCGCTGCGACGATGAGGGGTCGAATGAAAGGCTCGCAAAGATGGTGCCCGAGAGGCTCTAGCCGTCACCACGATGGTCGCAGGTAGAGCTTTTAGAATAGGGGTCTGCATCCGGACGGCAGGTCAAAGGCGTGCGCGCGCGAAGAGGAGAGAAGAGAAGAGAAGACAACAACGGCGCCGAGAAGGTTGCAAACCGGGATTTGGCACTAGATGTCATGGCCCAGCCGCAATGCCGACCGATACCTGGGCTGCTGCATCCTCAATTTCAACTCGATATCGACGTCTTTCTCAGTGTTTAGCAGCAGTAGAAAATCAAAGGCCAGGGTGAGGTGGTCAAGGAGGCCCCCACATTAGTAATTTTTGGCCCGACGCCGGCTTGCATAAGGGCAGTCAATACTTACCTAGGTACTTAAGTAGTATTTAGTGGCTTTGGTGCCTAGTACTCCGTACTTTGGAAGTCAAGTTGATATGTAATGTCGATAGGTCAATAGCACCGGACGGAGTGGCAGTACAGAGTCATTTCGGAGTAGTCAATACTAGCCTACTAAGTATAGAGTACTTATGCAGTACGAGTGCTGCCACGACGAACTGGCTTAAGTACTTCTTAGAAGTAAGTACTGCCATCTGGGGCCCGGGGTCTGGACGCATTAATGCGTCAATCCTTTACGGAGTACTGGGACTGCATGTGTCAATCTACGGAATACCGGTTTAGCATTTATCCCCCAGAGCATGCATGCTACTTAATATTGGGACATCGGGTCTCAGTGGTTAACGGCGTGCTTGATGGCTTGAAATGGCGTGCCGGCACCTGAGGTCAAATGTACAGCCCGCCCCAAACCAAATCAGGGCTTGGCTCCAGTATCAGCCTCCTCCATTCTGTGACGACATGGAGGCATAATAACACCAGGCCACATGTGCAGACTACTACTAAGTAGTTGGCAGCAAATCTGGACCCGTCAATTGTCTCCTCAGGCTCCCTCCGGCACTGGGCCGATCAATTGATCCCCAAAGCTCCATTCTTGTTCATCCAAAACCCGTCGTCCACTGGTCAGTTCTTGTCACTTGTCACTAGTGACTCACGAGCTCCTTCTAACACCTTGAGCATTTAATGGCGAGTGCTCGAGTGCAAGAGAGTTGACGTCTTGGCCTTCCCAGGTCGAGGCTTCCAAACCGGGCAGCCGTTGGGTACCTTTTGAGTTCAATGTTGGCTCGCTGACCTGCCGAGTAACTGCTCCGGTCCCGCAACACACGCAGCAATTGCGCGGCTCCCATCGCAAGGTGCCACCTCAAGTGCCGGCTATCAAGTAATAGCGATCCTACTTTCGACCTCGTCTGGCCCCTGCCGACTGAAACCTTGGATCCTTCAACAGCGTGTGTATAGAAGGCCGCGGCGTGGTTCAGTGACCATCATGCTAACCTTGGAAACCTTGGGAAGCCAAGTAAGTGCCTTCCAATAGTCCGGTCTGTCATCTTGATGCGGCGCTCCTGACTACGGTAGGAGGTAAAGAGTATTTGACCAGACCAGGTACCCGGCTATCGCGCTTTATACACATATGTACTCCAGTATATCAGTGTATACCTCTTGGTGGCAAATATATACTGCCGCCGATAAGACACCGCCGTGGACACCTCCCTCTCCATTGACCAGGGTTCAAAATATTCAGGCAAGAAAAGACATGGTACCATAATGTCGGCCATAACCGGTAGCGGCTCTTTGGTCTGGTCCCCGGATTCTCCTCCTCAAAACAAGCCCTATCATGCGAAACGGCCGCACAAGAAGTCCCGCCTTGGATGCCAGAATTGCAAAAGGCGCAAGGTCAAGTGCGACGAGAAACGTCCATCATGTGGAATATGCACTCTTCGTGGGGAAACTTGCGTCTTCGTTCTTCCAGCTGCCTCCCTCGATGTCAGCTCATCTAAACCAAAGTCGCCATCAGCCTCCCCCGGCTCAGGGAAATCGTCCCCTGATTACAAGGCTCTCGTTTCCACACAAAACCAGTCCTCAGCGCCATTTACTACGACGCTATCTGATCGTCTTCAATCCCCTGACTTCATTGTTGTCCGGGAACCGCTCCAGATAGCGACTGGGTGCGACGCCATCGACATGAAAATTCTCTGGCATTTTTTGGGCCATACGTGTACCTCCTTCTCCATCGAGGGTGGCGACTCCAGGCCCATGGAGGACCTCATGCGAAAGACTGTCATGGATCACGCTTTCAGTGTCAAATTTTTGTACAATTGCGTCATGGCCTTGTCATGCCTTCATGCTTGTGAAACGACTGGCGACGACATGGGTGATCCCTATCGTCTTATACGCTACCAGGACGGCGTGTTTGAACCATTTTCTACGGCCATCAGGACCAGCGATCCAAAAACGTACGGCGCGCTTCTAGCCAATTCTCTTCTCTTAACGGCCTTGTCGTCTCAGAATTTTCGCCTATCCCACGCGCCCGACCTCTACATTATTCAGTGGATGACCATCTGGCGTGGCATTGGAACGATTTTCCAGACAATAGATAGAGCTTCTTTGAGGAGCACCGGGTTAGAGCAATTGTTCTATCGGCCAGCTATGAATCTTACCGCGGCTGCCGCATACATACCTAGAAATCTCAATGTCTTGGTCTCGTCAATTCCAGCCGATGATCCCGATCAGGCCAACAGGAAAGCTTATACTCGAGTGCTTAGATATCTAGCAACCCTCTACCAAAACATGCATCAAGGAGGTTTCGGGGCTGTAATGAAGCTTCGCATCATCACTTGGTTTACATATCTACCTCATGACTTTGTTCGGCTGGTACTGGACAAGAATTGCCGTGCTCTGGTTATTCTAGCACACTACGCCGCATTCCTCAAACTAACTTTGGGAGTTTGGTGGTTGGAAGGCATAGGTGCTCGATCTCTCCGAGATATCTGTGCATTCCTCGGGCCAGCGTGGTCCAACGAACTCAAGATTCCACTCGCAGCAAGAGATATCGAGGATCCAATTGAGCTGGCAAGGCTAGTTCTGGACGATCCCACGTGGGAGCCACGTAGATCGCCGACTGATAAATGTGACGCACAGGAAGAACAAGAGACGAGGCAACTCGGCCTAGTAGACGACCAGGGTAGACCTGTCTACTACGAATCTGAAGCAAGGGCTGTCGTTCTGGCGAATCCAAGCCACCCAGGCGACGAACCAGTGTGGAACGCTGATGAATAAGGGCTGATTTGCTGGCTCAGAATTGGCCAATACTTCGAGATGTTTAGTTCGAGGTCTATACAGTGGGAGGCGAAAAGTATTGGACCACATCAGGTACCTGGCTATGGCGTTATCATCTACCATAGTAAATCAGTGTATACTTCTTAGTAGGTAAATATATTCTTCCACAGACTGCAGGACCTCGCACAAAGGTAGTCTCTTAGTTAGAGACCGGTTTCCCGCCGAAGTTTAATGGCCACAGGATGACGGTAGCTCTGATGCGTGATGGATGCGAATTCCCCTCTTCGGTCAAGGGATGACGACTTATTGGACGATATCACATGTGTGTCACAAGTATACTGGCCATGCAGTGGCCCGACCGTCTCTGACGGTATGAAGCAGAACCCTCGTCCTTGTATCACGGAAAAGACAGCACCCCCGCAATTTTCAACGAGCAATTAGCTACAAGTATGACAGGGATATAAGATAAGACACACGGAACAGATAGTAATTAAAGTAAAGAGGAAGTTTTATCATTGGTACACAGCCCACAAAAGAGACTAAATAGATGGAGCTTAGAAGAAACCTCCCCAGCCCCTCGGTTCCTCTGGTCTATACACAGGCTCCTTCTCCACGCCCTCAGATATTATGTAGCTAAGGCGCCTAGTTCTTCTCCAAATCCGCAAGAATCTTCGCACCCTTCTCCTTAGCGGAGGCAAGGTCACCAACCATGTAGAAGGCATTCTCGGGAAGCCCGTCACCCTCACCGCTCAAGATAGCCTTGAATGAGGCAATGGTCTCCTTAAGGTCAACCAGCGTGCCCTCGATACCAGTGAAAACCTGAGCGACAGTGAAAGGCTGGCTAAGGAAACGCTGAATCTTACGGGCACGCTCGACAGTAAGCTTATCAGCCTCGGACAATTCATCCATACCCAGAATAGCAATGATATCCTGCAAGGACTTGTACTCCTGTAGAATCTGCTGGACACGGGTAGCCGTGTTGTAGTGCTCTTCACCAACGATACGGGGATCAAGCATACGAGAGGTAGAGTCGAGAGGGTCGACAGCGGGATAGATACCCAACTCAGAGATACCACGAGACAAGACAGTAGTGGCGTCCAAGTGAGCGAAGGTCGTGGCAGGGGCAGGATCCGTCAAATCGTCAGCGGGGACGTAGACAGCCTGGACGGAAGTAATAGAACCCTTCTTGGTGGTAGTAATACGCTCCTGCATACCACCCATGTCGACGGCAAGAGTAGGCTGGTAACCGACGGCGGAAGGAATACGACCCAGCAAGGCAGACACCTCAGAACCGGCCTGAGTGAATCGGAAAATGTTGTCAATGAAGAGTAGCACATCCTGGCCTTCCTGGTCACGGAAGTACTCAGCAATCGTCAGACCAGTAAGGGCGACACGAGCACGGGCACCAGGGGGTTCGTTCATCTGACCGAACACCAGGGCGACCTTTGACTCGCCATCCAGCTGAATGACGGAGGTTTCCTGCATTTCATGGTACAGATCATTACCCTCACGAGTACGCTCACCAACACCAGTGAAGACAGAGTAACCACCGTGAGCCTTGGCGATATTGTTGATAAGCTCCTGGATGAACACAGTCTTGCCGACACCAGCACCGCCAAAGAGACCAATCTTTCCACCACGGGCATAGGGAGCGAGCAGATCGACGACCTTGATACCAGTGACCAAAATCTCAGCAGAGGTGGACTGATCAATGAACTCCGGGGGCTCGGAATGGATGGGCAAGAACTTGTCAGTCTTGATGGGACCACGCTCGTCAATGGGGTCACCAGTGACGTTGATGATACGACCCAGGGTAGCAGGGCCGACAGGAATGGTGATGGGAGCACCAGTGTCGGTGGCCTTGGCGCCTCGGACGAGACCTTCGGTACCTGTTACGTTGTTTAGAGCCTGCAGGGACTTCATGCCGGGGTTTCATGGGGAAAATTCAATCATACCGTCCATAGCAATGCAACGAACGACGTTCTCACCCAGATGTTGCTAAACATTATTGTCAGCCATAATGTTGGTACCGCATTGGTTTTTTCTGATTAGCAGCGACATACGGAAACTTCTAGGACGAGCTTCTGGCCATTGTTGTCGGTCTCGAGGGAATTCAGAATAGCAGGCAACTTGGCGGTGTCGAACTTGACTATTGGCAGGTCAGTTACAAGATTTCCCGTGTAGCAATGACCTTCCATTGGCTGTGGGGAAAGTCGGAGACCAACCGTCGACGACAGCACCGATAACCTAAACAATGTGGTTAGCCCAAGAAGGCCTCCCTGACCGGGAATTGCGGAACTCTGCTTACCTGGTGAATCTTGCCGACACCAACGCTGGCAGAACTGGCGAATCTGCTGTTCAGGGGGAATCGGAGAGCGGCAGGCTTAAGGGCACGTCGCGAGGCGGCGGCCGAGAAGGTCGGGCGAGACGCCCTGGCGAAGGAGGAAATGCCGCTATAGAAAACATCCACGGGTCAGCTCAATCGCCTCAATCGGCCTCAATTGGCATAACGGGTGCGCAAAAAGCCCCTGAAGATACATCCAGGCGTCAAGACTCACCTCTTGAACATCTTGCCAGATGACAGAGAGCGATCAGATACGGGAGTGGAGAGAGGTTGGTTGGAACTGGGGGAGAATTTGCAGAGTGAGCAGTTTTGCTCGGAAGCGGACGACTTCGTCGGTTAGAGCTTTCTCTCCAATCACGTGACTCACTAGCCTGAAATTGTCCTGCACATGGGGCTTCACAGTGCAGACCTCGGGTTTTGCAGGAACGCCGTCCCCTTGGGGGGGGGCTGAAATTTCAATGGCCAGTTGGCTTCTACGCGGCTATGATGCCAAGGCAAAAGCAAACAGTATTCCATCGTACTCCGTCTCTGTGCCAGTTCTCCAAATGAGGGCAATTGCAAGGCGTCACCATTGAACTTGCATAGATAGATAATTTCAAGTTGAGAGCATGCCTACTATAGCCAAGTACATATACAACTTACCTAGGCATTCAAGTAGGCACATGGCCTGGTCACGGAGAACTCATGTCTGGCGTTAAGTCAATCGTAGACACTCCGTACCTGCACAGTGTAAACCGACCCTTGTCGCCCCGGTCAACCGAGAGGGGACCATCATTGTTGGTACCTGAGGCTCCCTACGCCCCTTTCTACTGCTGGCCAAGCAGGTTCAAGGGCGGCTCTGGGTCATGTCGCGGCTCCCCGCCATCCCTTTCGTCTACTAAGCCACGTCCATTCCAAGGATTTTCTGTTCCGGGCCCCGGCCCTGTGTTCATTCGGCTTGCTCCGTCCTCAACAGTCACACCAGCACTTCAATGCGGGCTGGCAATAGCAACACGAATAACCAGTCTCTACAGCGAGGCCCCGTTTTTGTCACGCTCCTGCTCGCGGACGGAAACTTACAATAGAATGTTCAATGTACATTTAAGCGGTTATTATTTGAGCATTGGCATGGTCTGTTCATATGAAGCGAATGCATGAAAACTCCTGTTACTAGTAGCCAAACAGGTCTGATGCTGCGCTGCTGTTTTCATTGAGGCTGTTATGATTGTGTCAAGAATGCTTCTGTAGGCTTCATGAGGTCAGGCAATTTTCCCCAACCACTCACTGCTCCTTGCACTCGGGCAGCCGGTCAATATCGAGGCAATGTACTGGCCCTTCGCTGCTGTGCTTGCATTCCAGGTTGCCAGATCGGCAGATATCCCATCACGATGTACGTACTGCGTAAGTACGGAGGAGACATCCGATACATCTGCTGCGCAACCGTTTATTCCAAGGCCAGCACCTGGTATAACATGTTAATTCTAGTCCACAGAACAATAGTTTACCAAAAGTCGATGTGTAAGCTTACCATAGCTGTGCGACACGGAATGTACACTTGGGTCCAATTCTTCCGCCCATTCCATTCCATTGGGGTCGTAAAGAAGCGAGTGTTTTCATCCACCCGATTGAACCCGCCCGCCTCCTTGGAGTCGGTGTTGAGAACAATACGATATGTGCCAGAAACCTCAATACCGATGCGATAATCAGCGAAACTTTGGGAAGAGTGAAGGTTAAACACGAACACTAAGCCCGCCCGCTCGAAGACAATGACCTTGTCAACCTCATGCTTGAGTGAGATATACGCTTGGGGGGAATGAAGCCATCCATATTTAGCTTCACACTGGTTCATTGATCGATCAAAGTTGTTGAGATACTGATACCGTAGCAGATGATCTTCTGTCAGGTTAAGCTGGCGACGCGCATACCAAAACGAATTGTTGTTCCCTTCCCTAGGGAAGTCAAGCCACTCGGGATGGCCAAACTCGTTACCTTCAAAATTCAAATACCCTTCGCCTCCCAAACTATGAGTGAGCAGCCTAATCATCTTGTGAAGCGACATGCCTCTCTCAATTACGGATGTCAATGGTGACAGGACCGACATATTCGTGTACATTTCAGCGTCGCAGAGATGCATCATAAGTGTTTTGTCACCTACCAGCCTGTTTGAGTGTGAGTGAATGCACTTGACTAGACGCTAGCGGGGTATTAACATACGCTTGGTCGTGACTCTCACAGTAGGCAATGGTCTTCTCGCCATGGCGTCGATTAGCAAGAGTGAAGCAGATGTTTCCAATATCCCACTGCTCATCCTTCAGCTCTTTCAGAATCTTGATCCACATATCCGGGACTGCCATTGCAAGGCGATAATCGAACCCAACACCTCCCAGCGCAAGAGGCACACAGAGCGCTGGCATTCCGGATACGTCTTCTGCTATTGTGATACACTCAGGAAACAAGGAGTGTAACATTTCGTTGGCAATCATCAGATATACCACAGCCTCTTCATCAACTTCGGAACCAAAATATTCATGATAGCCGCCAGAAAAGCCCCTGAATATTTATCAGTCAACGATTCGAGTCAGTCCTCCGGGTTTTGGGGGTTCGGAAATTGCTTACGCGCCAATGCCATGATGAACGTACAGCATACTTGTAACGCCATCAAATCTAAATCCGTCAAAACGATATTCCTCCATCCAAAAGTGCAAATTGCTGAGGAGAAACCGCAGAACTTCGTGGTGGCCATAGTTAAACAGTCGGCTGTCCCACTGATCATGGCGCCCCTTGCCGCCGCCGTGGAAGTATTGATGATCTGTACCATCAAATTCGTTTATGCCATCAAGAACATTTTTTGAGGCGTGACTATGCACGACATCCAATAGTACACTGATTCCCATGGCGTGTGCAGTATCAACGAGCTCTTTGAGATCTTCAGGCGGCCCATATCGACTGCTTGCCGCGAAAAAATTGTTAACTTGGTAACCAAACGATGCATAATATGCATGCTCCATGACCGCCATAAGTTGAATCGTATTGTAACCAAGACCTTTAATTCTGGGGAGCATATTCTGTGTGAATTCCTTGTAAGTCGCTACTCTTTGTTCAGGCGTGGAAATTCCGACATGGGCCTCGTATACTCGGACACTGCCAGGTTTAGAAGGCCTCTCATGTTTGAATTCATACTTGTCGGCTTTAGGGGGGTTCCAGAATCGCGCATCATATGCCGGAGACACACTCAGATCTTGCGTCACGTATTTAATCCAAGCCGGCAGACGGTCCACCCTTCCCCCATTGGGTAGTTCCAAGGAAATCTAGTTTCACAGGTTTCCATGTTAGTTTGTTCTCTCATTTTTTTGGTTCAATAGCCTTGCGAACCTTGATTTTTGAATTATGTGGTATGGCTGGCTGGCCATCCTTGGGTGGCAACACAATTTCGAAAACTCCAAAGTCGTTCTTCTTCATCTCATGGGAATTGGCATCCCAGTTGTCTAAACCTCATTTGAGTATTATGGCGGATTAAGAAGAGTGATACAGCTGATTTAGACGCACTGAAATCTCCTACGAGTGATGCTGCTACAGCATTGGGTGCCCATTCTCGATATGTAATGGTGCCATCATCACTCGCATTTAGGCCAAACTTCTCGTAGCCCTAGATAATGCATAATCAGGTTCTCTGCACTGCGTCATGATGGTAAATTTATCAGAACAAATCCGATGTAGCTTACCCTCGAAAATTTCTCCAAGCCACCTTCAGTGGCTTTAATTCTGTTGATCCAATCCTGGGATTTGCCGTATCTGCGCTTCAGGGCTTCGCTAAATGGATCTAGCCCGGGGTCCAGCTTTACCACGCCTATCATTGTGGTTAGAGGATGACTGATGGATATGTACTTAGTGAGAATTGAGGCTACATACCAGTGCCATCCCGAGGTATATCGTCTGGAGTCAAACCAGCAGCGCCCGCTTCATTGAGCAGCCCTTGGATGTCTGTCATGGTATCAATTGACAATTGTGCAGAGGAATGTGTATTTGAGCTGTAACTATTCGTAGTACTGTCTGGATGACGAGAATGCGTGGTTCGTGGTACCGGTGGCGCTGCTCTACAAGTTGTTGGGAGTGGCAAAACCAGGTGAGATGCGTCGACGTTGGCGCTGGGCTCGGGTCCAGGCTATGGGAGCACCTGAATGCGGCAATATCTCGACTTGGGCACGGAACGTCTAATTACTTGAGTCAAGAGGTTGGGATTCAGGAAGAGGGATAGGGAACATCATCTCCACGAAGCTTGGTACAAGCTCAAGTTCAAACAGCTCTAGCAACTAAGCTAGCATTGATTGAAGCTAGTGGCGAATGAGCACTAGAGCGGCTGCGGGGTGACAGTGACGTCGAAGTAACGCCGAGACTCTGCAAGGCATTTTGATGCACAGCAGGCCGGCGTCTGGTAAAATCGCGCCAGGCGGGTGAAAGTGATTGGGTCAAACAATTAGCCAGTTGACGCCTCATGCAATGCAGCCTTGGTTCGCGGCCTTTACTGGCGCGAGGTCTTGTGCCGCCAATCCATGACGAGTATCAGGTCTGGTAACTGGGCCCCTAGGTACTGCGAGTTGACCTCTAGGGCCAAGTCGACAGACCAGTCGACGCTTGAGATCGATTTGATGCGACGACGTGTGAGGCAATTGACCCGTTGACCTCTCAACCTACTTAAGTACTTACTTTATGCTAGAGGTCGGCCGGTAGGCTAGCTAGCGGTGGGCACAGAACTCGAGTACCTACTAGAGGTATCAATTGTCCCGTCCAAACTGCTCATGCGGTCCATAGCAAGCACCCCGCCAGCCTCCACTGGTGGGTGGCAATCTACAACTACAGGGCCAGAATATCGATTGCTAGTGGCCGATAACGGATACCCAGGGAGGTGCCTGCATGTGGCCCCAACTTGACGTGCTGCATCTGAGCGCTGCGTTCAATGTTCCATCATCAAGGTTATCAGACAAAGTCCATGTTGCAACATACATCCAGCTAGCAAAAGATAACGACATGGTTCGCCCTAACATAGAGGCCATCTCGAGAGGATATTCGCGTTTTTCCATCTGAATCCGAACCACTTCGTCCCTTCTGCCGTCTCTGTAATGCCATTCCCAGTTTCCGATAAACAATCCCCGCCAAATCGAGTATCAACCAGCATTCAGTTTGCTCCCGCATTATCGCAGCGGCCTCTTCGATCGGGCTTCCGCAGCTTGGCACGAGCTGGTCAAGTGTGATATGAATAGCCACTTCACCATCAGCCATGCCTGGACAGTCAAGAAAGGTGGTTTGCGTTGTGCAGGCCTGCATAAGCTCCGGTGGCAACATACGCTGTTCACCAAGGAGCACTCATGTGCGTTGTCTTTCAACCACAGCTCCCCATCAGACATCTCGACGGACGCCAGACTTCAACTCCGGGTTCACAGGCAGCTATGACCCCACGGCTGAGCTGGGCCGTGGCCCTATGTTTAATAAAGCCAACTTTGGAGTCCCCCAATTTTACCCTCGGGATCTGAAGAGACGAGTCGATGAGTACGTTGTAGGCCAAGAGAGAGCAAAGAGGACCATTTGCTCAACCCTCTTCAACCATTATCAGAAACTTCGAAGGCGTCATCAACACGAGCATGAGCAGAGAAACTTTCAGGAAAAGCTGATGCGTCAACGTTTTGCTCGCGACCGCGAGTTGCATCAAAAGAGAAGAGACATACATCCCGTAGAAGGTTTGCAAAATCAACCAGAGCACTTTTCCTTTATGCAAACTTACTATCGCTATCAGGAACCCCAAGATTAATAATACCTTTCTTGTAGATGAATTTCCTGGGCACAATGAGTCGGTCAGACAGTTGCACGACGCAACAGAGTTTGAGGAAAACCCTCTTGATCATTTATATGTCCCAGAAGACCCGTCAGCGCCGGAGCATGTCAAGATTGATAAAAGTAACTTGCTGTTGATTGGGCCAACAGGTGTTGGCAAGACTTACATCCTAGAGTAAGTCGACAGTCTCCTCTACCGACACTATATTGCAGCTAATATGTATCAGAACGTTGAGCAAACAAATTCATGTCCCCTTTTCGATATGTGACTGCAATTCCCTCACTCAGGCCGGCTACATTGGCCAGGATGTGGAAACTTGCATTGAGCGGCTACTCATTGAGGCCAACTACGATATTAAAGCTACGGAATACGGAATTGTGGTGCTAGATGAGTTCGACAAGCTTGCCAGGAGAGAATCCCCGACAGGGCGTGATGTTGGTGGAGAAGGTGTCCAACAAGCCTTGCTCAAGTTGGTCGAAGGGACCAAGATTACCATCAATGTGAAGGATAACCGATCATCACGATCAACCCCGCCAATCACCACAAACTATAGCTCTGGTGGATCGTCGTCGTCGGCACCGCAGGCCGTTCCCCCAGGGGGGAAAGTCGACCAGTACACAATCGACACCAGCAACATCTTATTCGTATTCTGCGGTGCGTTCGTCGGTCTGGATAAAGCCGTGTTGCAGCGTGTAGCCAAGCCGTCAATGGGCTTCGGTGGCGAGTTGAGAGGTCGGTCGACACTTTCTGGAAGCAAGCACATCCTTCCTTCGAGCGTATACGCTCATATTGCTCATCATGACGCGATGCCAGAAGCTTCATTTACGCCGCTAGATCTTGCAACACCTGCAGATCTGCAAAGCTTCGGGTTTATCCCAGAACTAATAGGCCGCCTACATAACATCTGTGCTCTAAGTCACTTGTCCACCAGCGACCTGCTCCGTGTACTCACAGAGCCCCGGAACAGTCTTGTTGCGCAATACACGGCATTATTTGAGACGTACCCGTCGCGATTACGCTTCACTGAAAAGGCATTATACGCCATTGCAGAAAGGGCTGCAGCTATTGGAACTGGTGCCAGGGGTCTGAAGATGGAAATGGAACGGATTCTCGCTGAGCCGATGTTTGATGCCCCTATGCCGTATGTTCTTATAACAGAGGACTGTGTTAAGGGATCAGGTAAAGCAACATACTGGGGTAAAGACGGGAGGTTCGAAATAGACAGGCGGTTGGAAGAAGAGAGTATGAGTCGTCAAGACACAATACCTCAGGTGACCTTTGAGCGTATGAGGGAGGCCGGGCAGAGTGGGGGATAAGATGAGGTTGAAGCAAGGTGGGCGGTGATATATATATATATATCAGGTTTGCCTAATAATATGGCGAGATGCCACTGGCATCCATGAGTCCTTGATCTTCTCCTTGCGTGAGGGAACATCGCGAACGGGCACATTCATTGTCACCGACGAATGTAGCATTTTCACGGCGAACAATGGAGAAATTTAATTTTTTCGGAGTTCCGTCGTTGTAGTACAGTATTTACAACCAATCAATCAGCTCATCTTCCGCCTTGCCGGCCTGACCTCCCAGCCACGCTCGCTCTAGAACCATTTTACATGTGGTGACGGTTCCCCCACAAGTTCACCTCCTACACTTCTATCACAAAAAAAATTTGCATGGTATTGGTAGAGAGAGTTTAGTTGCCCTTCGGAGGAGACTGGACCATGCCCTTGCCACTGTAGCCCTCGGATGTAATACCGGTAAGGGGATCGGCTTTTTGTTGCTGTAAAGCCCCGTAGATTAGCACTGGCTCTTTCGGGTTTCAAGGGCGAATATGCCGAATAATTCATATCAACTTACGATAAGGAGCTCATTGGAAGCCTCCTGATATTCCTTGGACATGGTATGGGGTTCAGGCTTGGCAAAAGATCGAATGGCAGCGAAGATGGCAAAGCTGGCAGCAAGACCGACGGCAATGCCCCAGGCAACGCGAGCATTGGTACCCGGGGGGTCAACAGCACGGGGGCCATGGGGACCAAAAGCGATCCAGTATGCTAGTGAAACAATATGTGTTAGCTCTTGTTCGGTCAATGGTGAGGCCATGCAGCTGTAGAGAATGCACGTGTATCCCGGCAATCCCCGATTGACGCATCGAGCAAGGAACTCGTTCGGGCATGGCAAGGGGGGTATATTCTCCATTGAACAATCACGAAATTCAAGGCTTGCTGTCGCGTGGCAGCGGAGTTGGGGAGTGAACGCTTGAGCTGTGGTGGCAGTGGTTGGAGTGGTGATCCTTGGCAGCTCGGCTATTCGGGAGGTATTTTCGTAGGAAAACGCTGAGCTATGGGGAGAAACATACCGGCCTTCTTCTCCTGCAGGGTCAACTCGTTCCAGTTACCCTTCATGCGATCACGCAGAGCCATCCACAGATCAGCCTGCTCCTGGAGAGGCATGCCCTCCCATCTCTTCTCGATGTTCTTGAGTGTAGGGTTGGAAATCGCGTGGGTGGAAGAGGCTCGGGAGGCAGCGGCTGGGACACTGCGCACCAAGCCCTTGCGCAGCAGATTCGATGCCGGTGTGCGCAGCATTTTGTACGGCTCAAGTCCGAAGTGGCGGGAGTTCAATTGGCGCGGTCGATTGCGCGGTAGATGGATTCCAAGATAGCGAGGTCAGGGAATTTCTGGGCTCTTAGGATCGGAATCAATCGTATGATGGATTTCATTCGACTCCTGCGAAGAAAGCTCAGGTCCCGTGATGACTAAGTATTTGTGCCGGTCACGTGTATATCGGCCAATCACTGGTGACGGATTTGTGGTCGCTGAGTTCCTTTTCCGGGTTGCTGGGACTGCGCAGCTTTGCTACTCACAAAGTTGCTCGAGGCTGCGTGAGAATCCTTCATGATCGTCAAACAATCAGCTAAAATTTAAAATTTTGGTGTCTATTAAACTACTATAGTTTAAGTACTGAAGTGTGTCTCTACTTGGTAATTTTTTACTTTTTTTGTGCCGAGTAGATGGGCTTACTTTTATCGGTTCCGGATTGTCGTGAATTCATCTCGACACACATTTAGTACCTGTTTTGGACCGAGAACCCTGATGGGAAATTCCCACAGAGGGCTGTATCATGCAAGCGTAGGTTCAAGGTTGTCTACATGGCCAATTTTGGTGTGCACGAGGGTGTCTGCGCTTATCCTGCGGCAACTTCTCCAACATGGCAGAACTTCCTGGCAAGGCAAGCATGCTATAGGGTAGTCGGCGTCCGATTGGGAGACTTTAAGAAGACACTGATGGCAGCGGCACTGTAAATGAAAAGTTTGGTCTAGGCATGTTACACTGTTTCTAAAGCACAACAACGAGGTTGCTTCAGGCCATCGAGGGACTGGAATATGAGCAGCACCTTTAAGCAGTCAATCGCAGTGCAGTCATCATTACGGAGGAGATGTGCACTCCCTGGGGAAATATCGGCCCCATATCGGCGATGCTGAAGCGGCAGATAATTGGATAGCCGGGCTCGCAATGGAGTTATCGGCAACATGACCATGGACTTTCCGCGGCGCCATTCCCGCATTCCATGGGAATTGGCACAACTTCAAGCTCCCATCTCATCTCACTTACACCCGCCTCATTGCTCTTTTTCCCTCGCCCCTGGGAGACCCCATTTGAGCACTGAATTGCCAAGAGAAAGTGATAGACCAGTCTCAGAATCCCAGATGGGTCGTCAGCCGAGACAACGACCTATTTCATGCACTCTCTGCAGAGTGCGCAAGCTCCGTTGCAGTCGTGTGTTCCCATGCTCCAATTGCACATCCCGGGGCGTGGTCTGCCAGCACGAGGGCACACCTCAAGATGCCACTGTTGCAGGTCAATCCAAGAGTGATATGCTGCCAAAGGATATATCAGCTTCTGAATTGTTGTCGCGCCTCGAGAGGCTCGAAGCATTGGTAGCCTCCCAGGCCAAGACCCAGGCCCAGACTCAGACCTGGCCGCCCGGGACAGGAAGTCCCATATCCGCGGACACAAGAAAGGCTGGTTACCCAGAGTCCGGACCCCCGACAAGCCTGGCTGCTGTTCCGTCACGGCTTCAAAGGCTGACTGCCGATGCCCTCTGGTTGGAGAGGTCATGTTCCGGCCAGAAGTTACTGGTAAGCCTGTGCTCATTATCAATCAACCCAGACGTACCTCAGAGCAGCTGCACATTGCCCTCGTCTATTCTGTGCACATCGCCACTGACATTGCCATGTACAGGACTCCGTGGTTGCTGATCCCATAACCTTCCGTACATGCCCCATAAGACTCATTACAAAGCCGTCTGGATTCATATTTGAACCCGAGGCAGCTACTGGCGCATTCGGAGTCACGCAAGCGATACGATGCATCTGGCTGCCGCGTCGCGAGGAAGCACATATCCTGCTGCAAAAATACCTCAGTGATGTTAGCCATTTTCATCATATCATCCATGCTCCCTCCATGGGGGGCTTAATAGATGCCACTTATAACGGGCTGGAGCAAGGCGACAGGGTTGACATAGGCGCCATCTTGCTCCTGCTGAGCATCTGTACCACCACAACATATGCTTGGACCACGTTTGATGACTCAAGATGCCTCTTTGCCAATTATGTCGAGGCAAACTCACAGGCCACTTCATGGCTGAAGGCTTCTCTTGACGTTGCTGACCACGCACATCGCACTGCCCACCTCTCTGTTGAGTGCGTCCAAGGCATGATCATTATGTTTTATGTCCTGTGCAGCCTCGAAGGAGTCTCATCACGAGCTCGATCCCTGGTGGCGAAATCCATCGCCATGGGCCGTGAGCTAGCCCTGCACCGCATCGACTACTCCCCCAATGGCTCCTCCGGCGAGGTTGCGGGAGCGGACGCGGTGAAGACCGAGATTAGTCGTCGCGTCTGGTGGTACCTGACGGCAACAGATTGGTAAGTTACTCATACCCAAGCCGCGCTAGCTTGACCGGTGAAAGACGCCCAGACCTGACAAATGATCTTCAGGATGCTTGCCCAGTTTTCTGTACCGCAGGAAGGAACGTATACAATACACCCAAATCACATGGCTGTTAGAAAGCCACGCAATGTGGATGACGAAGAGCTTATTAGTGGTCGTGAGGTCCCTGATCACGCGGCCGAGAAGCCAACTTGTGTCTCGTACTTCTTACAACGTATACGGCTGGCTGAGGTTTGCCACGGCCTTCTCGACAGGTCACCGTTTATTCTCCTCAGCCCAGAAACATTGGACTATCGGCAAGTAATGGAGGTCGATGCGAAGTTCAAACAATTCATATCCGAAATGCCGTCCTTCTTTTCGCTGGGCAACACAAGTCTAAAAGATCTTCCACTTGATGACCCGAGATGCTCACCAAATATCACCGTGCAGCGCTACACGCTGAATTTACTCCTACACCGGCAGCTCTGCAAGTTGCATCTACCATATCTCGCTCGAGGAGCGGTGGAGACACCATTTGCATACTCACAGGAGATGTGTATGAAATCGGCCAGGATTATCATTCAGGTAGAACATCAGCTGAGGAAGGAAAACCTGGTGTACGTGTCGTTCCGGCAGAGGATGAATATGGTGCTTCGAAGCGTCTTCATTGCCACGATTGCCCTGGTCCTGAGTGCATGTTTAGGAGGGGATGGAGACAATGGTACAGCCAGCGGAGAAGAAGTTGCGGATGCCTGGAGGATACTAGAGGAGGCAAGACACCAATCCCCGGTTGCGTCGAAGCTTCTCGAGCTGTCGGTACAAGTGCTGAAGAAGCACCGAGGAAATCACCCTGCACTAGAGGCAGTGAATAATCATGCTGCCGGAAAAGGCCGGCCACCAGGCGGGTCTCCTCCAATGACTCCTGATTCGGGCCATCGAGATGATGGGACGAATGGCATGTTACCACCACAGACGACCCCCGAATCAGAAACCGCGTACCTTGAGCAGCAGTGGCAGGCTCTGCAAGGGAGAATGGACCTGGACGCTATTGACTGGGACAGGCTTTTCTGGGGCCTGGATGCGCCTTTCATATAGTCGGCAGGCCTGTTGCATCTAGTTGGATGAAGTGGTTTGGGTTTCATACGTGCCCGATGTCCTGAACGCGCAAAGTTACAAAAATATCAGTCGATACGGCGGGAGTGAATAATAAAGAAAGATTTTCGAAGTTCATGATAATTACATGGCGGGAGAAGATTGCAGGCCCGACCTGGTGACTCTTGCGAAAACGACGCAACAGATGTGTCCGGTTTACCCGTTACTTCATATCCTTTGGTATTGTTTTAGCGTCTGACTGTAAGCCTGTTTCGTTTGTCCTGCTTGTTTTTGTGTTCGATCCCGTGCTGCTACTCCGAATTAATGTCCATAGGATGCTGATGTAGTAATCGGCGACTGGTTGCATACTTTTGTGACGGCGACTTGCCATCTAAACCTTTTTCTTGGGCAAGGGCTGGCTGGAAAGTGTAATAGCCTGGCGAAACGATCAGAAACGACGAAATTGAATCATGCAGGCTGTTTCGGCCAATATCCATCACAAGGTCCGGGCCTCACCTCCCATTACCCCAAAAAAGATGGCCAATCCCACTGGAAGAGCTCGTTGCAATCCGCTCATGTTGCGATGGCTGTCCCGGTAATAGTCCGACAGATTGCGTAGCGTTTCGCAATAGCCTGGGCTGAATGTTGAGGGGGCCAAAAAGGTTGAACTGCGGTATCGTCTGGCGAATAACCTATGGCACTGAACTCGGAATAGCTTACATGTAGCTTGAAGAATCAACTTCGGTCAATTGCTTCAGCAATTATCGACCCACTCCTTCTCCATTGGGCTCACCTCTGGTCTGCCGGCCCCCACTAAATTGCCGCGTGAACATTGAATGGTTCAACGCGTCTCGCGATTGCTAAGCGCGTTGACTTGACCATCGGCTCCAGTTGGAGAAAATAGGAACATCAGACAGGATCATCTTCTCGACTTATGTAAAAGACCCTACCAATCCAGTCCAGCGCATCAACACAAATAAAGTACCATGCAACAAATCATGCCTGCTTAGGGATATCATTTGTGGTGCGGGTGAATTTCTTATACCTTTCTTCTTGTCATGCTGCTGCTTTGCCTTGCTCTGAATTCTCGTGCCGTTGAGACAATGATGAGTGGACGCCATGACCAACTGGAGAGAATTGGGTGAGATACCAGACTCAGAGGACGATGAGGGCTTCTATAGTCAGCCGTTGGCTTCGCGACCGATTGCTACTACCACTGACGCCGTCGTACCCGTATACGATCCAGATCCTGGCATTTGGGACTTTCCAGGCTCACCGAACAATAACAATAATGACAACGTCGTTACGAATCCGCGAACACCTGCCCTCTCGATTCCATATGAAGAACAGGTGCTTGACCTCGTAGCCTCATCGCCGTTGTCATCTGCGCTTAGTGAAGATGGGCTGCCTGGGGTTGAGGATCTTTTTCCTGGAGACGACACCCAACAACATGTGGGAAAACTAGAACAGGGAGACGCAAAACTATTGGGAGCTTCGCAAGCAGAGAGCCATTGCAGTTCTGCAGTGGCTCAAGATTTGCCGTTGTCCCCGGACCCCCCTCTTGATAATCATTCGTTTTCCCGCAAACCTGACGGACAGAGCCAAACAATCGGGACTGGTGGGATCTCTGAAGCTCAGCGAATAGCAGTTCGATACGAACGATCCTTACGTCCTCGAAAACCCATCCAAGAGCATCCGTATCTACTCGAAAATGCTCAGTATAGCAGTTTTTTGAAGTTGCACGGCGTAAAGCCTTTGCGAATGGCCATCGAGAATGAGCGAAGGAAACGGGATGCTCAACCGGGAGGATCACAAGAGGATGACTTTCAGGAGGACAGCCAGGAGTCCTGCAAACCAGACACTCTGGACGACTCGTCTACAGATGAAATCGGGCTTCCAGGAGACCTTGACGCTGTGCTTTTGCCATCGTCAACACCCCTACGGCAGTCTCCGACAGCCAGACGTATCGGAATTAGCAGCCCCGTCAGCTCTCATGGAGACACAGACAACACGAGTGTTGTGGATGAAGACTTACCTGCTCTAGAGGAGCTGCTGACAAAGCCTCCGAAACTCGTCTTAACCAAGGCAAACAAACGAGATGCAACTCCACTCACATCGTCGATTCGCAAAAGGATGAGAAGAAATATTATACAGAGTGACCCAGTCGACGATGACTCTGTTCAAGCGGCATCGGATGTGCAATCTCCATTTATACAGTTCTCGCCATCTTTACGTGTCCCGCCACTTTTGGAGACCGGTTCCGATGGAATCCCGAACCCTCAAGTCTGTGATAGATCACCGACTCTGTCTGCAGCAAGCATATCTGGCAGAGCAATGGGCGCTACTAACCGCGCTACATATATTGCCTCAAGTGATGAAGACGATGGGATCACCCCTGCAAATGACAATCCTACGTCTCCCGGTTCTCGTGGTTCTGATACTGAAAATGAGACAGTGACAACCATGAGCCGCCGCATACGAGGTGTTCTTCCTGCTTCATGGCTGCGGCTTGACCGGCAAGCCGGCCGGGCAAATGCAAAGAATTCTCTCAGTCGCAGGACTCGTCTCCTACGATCTCCTGAGATCGAACACAAGCGAGGGGTCGCACAATCGCGACATGCCACAAATGGAACAGCTGCTCTTCCAATATTTTATGATGCATCGGATGAGGAAGAGGTGCGAAGCATGTTAGATGTCAATGAGAATAAATGTGACAACCCAGCTCAATTGGAGATCGACCACCCCGAGTCGCCAATTCGGGAACGAGACACAAACCATGAGGACGATGGAGATGCCTCAGCTATAGAGGACAACGGGGTCGATTTCATGCTCTCAGGACCGTCGCGGAAGCGTCAGCTTAAGCTGACCGATAGTTTGGACCAAGGTGCCAGGAAACGACCGAAAAGAAAAGATCAAATCACGAAGCAATCCTATGGAAGGCTGAGGCAAGTCGGGATCAAGGCACACTTGCATGAATCTCCAATGCCGCGTAGGCCGGATTCCTCACTGTTTGAACACTCTCAGAAGCAGGATTTACGGAAACGAAAAAGCATCTATCTTTCCCGAAAGCCCGCCGGGAAACAGGCTAGGACGTCGCCGCCGAAGCTTAGCATTCTGGACACTATCCAACCGGATGCACCACAATTTTTGAAGATTGCTGCACGGACAGCACGGACTAGACAGCTTCAGGGTCGTTCAAGCCCATATAAGAAAACCATACAGCTTGCAACTCGACAAGATCAGCTTGATGTGGCTTCAGTATTGATTGATTGGCGCTCAGGCTCCATCAAACAACGAGATTCAGTCACTGCAGCAACAAAGTCACCCCAAAAGAAACGAGGCCGGGTTGTGCTGGCGGAAGCTTCCGGGAACCGGCATGGCAATAATATAACCAGAGCACAGTCCAGGCCTGGTGTATCAAAGAAGCTCGTCAAGCATGTGAGCAATGGAGGATCAATTAGATATCTTCCAGCACAGGCTCATCCTCAGCGACAACACCTGAAGAGTGCCCGGAAGATTGCTGCCGTAAAAAAGACGTTTTCCCCGAGTTCAATTCGTCCAGCACAATTGGAGAGGGACGAAATTGTCCAAATGACCAAATTTGAGTTCAACACTCGGAAGCGATTTCTGGATCGCCTGTATCAAAACGGCCATTCTGGAGTGAGAAAGCCAAGCAGCGAGCCGTCATCTTTACGAGGTAGTACCCGAAATCTCGGGGTATCTATGCAAGATACAGCAAATAAACAACCAGACAAGGCCAAGCAAATATTGGGCGGATCGCGAAATCCCAAGAAGGCAGCTCCTCGGCGTATCGACATCGATGCGCCTCAGTATAGCCACGCAAAGGATCCAGTCCCTGAAGTGTATTCCGCAGAACCAAGTATAGCTGGCACAGAGCCTGCTCAAGCCAAGCTTGTCGGCTTGGGACCCTATGGTACACAGTACACTCATCATTTCGAAATATTCCCACTTCACCCTGATGTCTTCTTCCACGAATCTACTCTTATCGGAAGCGGCGAGCTACAGTCTTGCGCCACGGCTGTCTTCTCGATGCACACGTCGGAAGCACAACCTTGTATGTCCATATCGCTTAATGACCATTTGTTTAGATGGGGCGCTTGGAATGACCAAACTTCCTCAGAACTAGGCGTGGTGCTGGATTATATCGCAGAGGGTATCGAGGCCCAGCTGGCTGGAAAGCCTGCTCCGTCACCCAGTGAACTGACTCCTGTTCTGGCCGCGTCGTTTGTCCTAGGCTATATCAAAGACTCTTTTGGGTTCTTCGAACAAAGCCAAAAATTGTCATTCCTCTCCCGAGCTCGTGAATGTCTGAATAACTTCAATAATCGCACTGACTCAATCCTCAGAACTGCCCGCTTCAGCATTCAGGGCATTGGCCATGTTTTGCAGATCTATGATAGACTGATGCTTATGGCCTTCCTTATGCTGAGATTTTGCAACCAGGACCCATTGCTTATAACTGAGAAGTTTTCAGTTGAAACATGTCTTCAGAGTATTGGTGAAACTGCGATCAGCATCCTCACTGAATTGGGCATTGGGAGCTTGCAGAAGTTCTACACGGAACTCCACAATAGGCACTTCAGAGAAAGTGGAATTCGAAACGACTATCCTGTCATAAATTCTTGGGTGATGGTCATGAAAGTCATGGATCTGGCGCACATTCCGAGGGCGTCTTTTTGGGATGTGGCTCAACGCTGGATCGCCCCAAAGGAGGACTTGTCTAGCAGTAACGCTCAAGACCACGAACGTATCTGGGAGAATGTGTTTACGCTTCTTCCCCTTATGGAATTTAGCAATACTGGCGTACTCGTTGCTGGCCAGCGACACTCGGTGTCGAGCGATGGCTGGACAATTCCGCAGAAGCTTCTTAGGCAAGTTTTCCAGCTGTACGAGCGCAACCCACGACAGGCTACCAGCTTCAACTATTATTGTCGAGCACTCGTTGGACGATGCCACTACCTTGTTCAAGAATGGGGTTGGAA